CTATATTGAAATGTTTTTATTTATAGGGCTAATCCATTTTAAACTGTTTTAAAGTGAACATTTTCCCCCATTTTTTGACACCACTGTGCAATATTTTGAATTGAAATGGCCCGTAATGGCCCTTTTTTTATTTTCCATAACAACATGAGCACTAAATTATAGCTGTGCAATTATGTAAACAATGGAAATGCTTCCAGAATGAATCCTTCCTTTTAAATTTTCATTTTGTGTAATTGTTGGAAGGTTTGGAGCCATAATAAACAAAATTATTTTACACATTTATCGTTCTAAAGGTCAATTATAAAAGAACTAAAGAAACAACACTATGCAAAATGAATAAACCAATTTCTGTTGCCATCACCATATGTTTTTCTTATCGCTTATGGTTTTTCCAGTTACTGTGTACATAGCATTCAATTAAAGCGATTCATTTACCGGGCTGAATGTGGTTTGTGTTTATAGAACTGTGCTTTGGAGGATAGGAAACAACACGCCTCTATTTGAATTACCTGATTTTTTGCAAGATCAGTGATAAGAGACAGATGTTCTCACCAGTCACTTTCTCATAAACCCGTATCTTTTGATAAGCTACAAATTCACAATTATCATTTTACAGTCTAGCTTTTCACTCTCAGTATGTAGTATGCACATGGACTTTTCACCAAAACAAGAGAAAAATACTAGTTTGGTGTCCTTTTCACCATGTTACAATATTTTTCATGACTATTTCCTTTGAACAAAAAGCATATGCAAGAATTTTGTCTGTGCTTCAGACTGGTCAACTTTAAAGGATAAACTTAATTCCTGTTTTATACTCCATTTACCATTGAACTTATTGTTTTATTTTATTGTTTGAGTCTGTTTAGAGTGGAAAAGAAACTAATTCTTGCTACCATACTTACTTGTTTGGGATAAATTCTAGAATTCCTCAAAAGAATGAAATCTGAAAAATCTAAAATGATCCTTTTTCTGTGTTTTTGTTTCCTTGTTTTTCTTATAAAGTACATAGTCTATGCATAATTGCTGTAATGACTTGTTCAGAATATTGTTTGAAGGCACTAATGTCTGGAGCCTTTTAATTTCTGGGATAATGTGTGATCTAAGAGGCTTGTTTGTACAACCTTTGAAATGTTTTTAAAATATTACTTGAATTTGTGTGGATCAAAAAAGTAATATTTTTGCTGAATAGTACAAATTGAACTTATAAAGTAGATTCTGTATAGTGAACTCCTTAGAGTTCTTCCCCTTTTTGATTTTTTTGTTTTACTCACAACCCTATTTACTTCTGTATGACGATTTTCAGTTTACAAAACCATATGTTCATATCTACTATCCTGTTAGATATTAGTTTTTAAGACAGAATCATCCCATTCTATGGAGGATAAATGTGAAGCCCAGGCATGATATGATTTGCCTACAGTCTCACACATGTCTGTGAACCCAGGCCTCATGGCCCCAGTTTTGGAGTTCTTTTCACCAGAGCAGAGTTTGAGTGCAGGGGCATTTCCTGCTCATGGTCAAATCTGGGGCAACACTAAATAGCAGTGAACAACATAGTGGGAATGATGGCCTTTTTCTTTGTGTTGGCCATTCCTTGTGATGCTTTCAGGTAGGCCACCTGGAGTAGGTAGAGGAGTATTTTTACACCATCTTAACGATTCAAACAAGGAGGGCCCTTGCTTCAGACTGGTCAGATCACTATCTGTCAGTAATACTTTTAGCAAAAACTCAGTATCATTGATTTACTGTCATTATATTTATTTAAGGGAGTATTTTCTAAGACAAATGATACTAATTTTTCAGAATAATTTTATTTAAGTTAAAAAAAATGAGTCACTGGGAAAACTGATTAGGCAAATCATGTTTGCCTTTGAGGTGAATATGGCAAAATGCATGAGGGCTGTACATGAATGATTCATGTGTGGGAAGTATGGGTCTGTCTTACATATATATAATGCCTCAGAGGCTGCAAAGAAAGTTTCAAAGTCTGAAGATTTTTATTTTATATTTCTGAAGATTGATTCCAATTACAACTATGATCTTAATAATCTTTTAAAGAGTTATATGATTAGTTAGAAATGAATGGAGCAGGCCGAGGTTGTGGCTCAGTGGCAGAGTACTTGCCTCGCACATGTGAGGCACTAGGTTCGATCCTTGGCACCACATAAAAATGAATAACAAAATATTGTGTCCATGTATAACTAAAAAATATTAGGAAAAAAAAAGAAATGAATGGAGCAATTTGTTGTTGTTCGAAACTGCTCTCTTTTGAGTACCACATGGTTATTCCTATTAAAATGTTGTCACAAAGGTAGAATCTTTGAGTTGTTCCATGTTAATGTGGATAAGCAAAGGAAGCAGACATGTGGCTGTAATTTGGCTGACTTCTCATATAGTTTCCTCTTTAACCCCCACATTAACCCTACCCCAGTGCTCTTTGGTGACTGTGGCACGGGCCCTGCTTCTCCTAGGGGCGCACTCTTAATGTGGGTGGCAGAGTAGGTTAGGCTAACCATCTGTTACTGTGTCCTCTTTCCGATCTTCTTGCCCATAGAAACAGGTTCTGTTGAAGTGACTGGCTGAGGTCCAGGGGCTGGGGGAGCTGTGTGACTTTATCTCAGCTGCATGCATATCTGCTGTCTTTAGCATCATGGCAACTTAGTAATTTTTTCTGAATGCCCCATTTTACAGATCATTGACTTTACACATACAAATCTTATGAAGCAAGATGGATTCCATTTATAAATTCTGGCTTTAGCTTATTAAAGGATTTAGTTCCTAATTCCCATAAACCTATCCCAGAAAAGCATTTTTTAATTAAAACTTTAAATTCCAGTAGCAAAAATGGCTCATTTAAGTATGTGCTAAAGATTTTTAAAACCCATAGGCTTTGGGGTTTTAGTTCCTCATCTCAACAGATGGAATTAACACAAACATAACAAAGTTAACATCATGGTTGTTTGCATTATTAATCTTCAGATGCATGGCATTATGCTACCTTGCTAGCCAGGTTTGCACGAATCCTTTCATAGCAGCATATGTCAACAGAAATGTGCTTCCATCTGCTGCTGGATAGCTTGATGTCTGATATTCTGAGTCAAGGCCCAGCACAATGCGTACCTCTGTGAGTAATTACAGGTGTGTGGTGAGGAGCCCAGGGCATTAATCAGAGGCTTAATTATGAAAAAGGTGGATCTTTTGTTCTACTCCTGGAGCATGAGTTTACCACACACTTTCTAAAGGGCAGCACCCATCTGCTGGTCCCCTTAGAATGTTTGCCTTTGCTGATAGGAACCCTAAAGTGTGTCACAGGGCGTGATTAAAGCAGGTTAAACATTAACTAAGAAGAAGCATGGTTCAGACTTTTCTTCCCTTCCTTCCTTCCTTCCTCTTATCTACCTATCTGTATATTTGTTTATTTTTAGCACAGGAAAAACTCTGCAAAAATGCCAAAACTTTAAATTAGCATTTGATAAACTGTTTACCATTTGTAAGCTTTAACAGATAAAACATTGTGCAGTCATGTTGATGATACAAATAGTATGATTTATAAAAATTAAATGAGGCTACTATGTAAGGAAAAATGTTTTGTGAACACATATAAATGCTGTTTCAAGAAGGTAAGTTGTCAAATGAGGTTATTTGTATTATGAGGGATTTAAGTTAATGTATTAGGATTTGGCATGTTGTTACTACTGTGCTCTAATACAATTAAATCAGAATTATTTTAAAGGATTTTTCCAATGGCCATTCTAAAAACTCAGAAACTGGAGACTTTTTAATTTTGCTTTTTAATCATATATTGGAACTAACTATAGATTATATAACTATTAGTCAATGCCTATAGTACTTTGGTTGTTTGATTAATGTTCCTGGCCAAAAACTGCATAGATGAAGTTTATGGTTTTCTAACTTACCCTCTTATATACAGACTTGTACAGATGGCTTCAGAGGTATGGCCTAGCTATAATGGCATGAGTGCTGTCCAATGGTGGATCTCTGATTTGTCACAGACAGACTGAGGTGACTGCCTCAGAATAGAGTTGGAAGTTGGGGAGTTGGGGTGGCTAGCCACCAATAACAGCCATTGAGACACAGGACACAAGGCTTCTGGGGCATACAATGCTCTTAATACAGAAGGTTTCTGCTGCACTGCGTACTGTGCCTTGCAATCACACATTTCCTCACAGCTACACTGACTCTCTGACCTTAGTACATCAGTGATCACAGCATTACCTGGGCACTCTATACATTTCTGTTTGTTGGGGTATAAAATTACCTGGAAAGTGAAAATTTCCCTTAATATAAACAGCATGCTTTAACTTTTAAATATTGAAGGCTAAAAGCAGAACATAATTTTCTTTAGTGATAGGATTTATATATATATATATATATATATATATATATATATATATATCTCAACACTCCTGAAACTTGTCCAAGGAGTCACCTTTAGGTGGAATATAGAAGAACTGTCTTGTCTCATTTCCACTGTTTAGATTTTGGATGATCTTACAGTTTGGTGTCTTCATTCTCTTACCTGTAAAATAAGTACAGTTACCAGTGTAGTATCTCATTTCTTGGTACCCCACCACTGAAAAATTTCTGTCATCCACATTCTTTTAGATTAATATGCAGAGGTCATATTTACAGACAAACTTCTTTGGAATTTTATTCTTAAAAATTACATTTGTGGGGCTGGGGATATAGCTCAGGTGGTAGAGTGCTAGTCTTGCATGCATAAGGTTCAATCCCCAGCACCAAAAAAAAATACAGTGTGATAGCTGGGCTTGGTGGTACATGCCTGTTATCCCAGCAACTTGGGAGGCTGAGACAAGATGATCACAAATTTGAGGCCAGCCTCGCAACTTATTGGTACATTGTCTCAAAATGAAAGATACATAGGGTTCAGGGATGTAGTTCAGTGGTAGAGTGCCCCTGGGTTCAATCCCCAGTAATGCAAATAATAATAAATAGTGTTTTCTTATCTTCCCTTTTAGGACATTTTAAATACCATTATAAGGCACTGTCCACCGCGCTTTTTCTCCCTGGGTTTGCCTGGATTCTCAATGCTGGTGGGAGACTTTATCACGGCTGCAGCAAGGGTCCTTAGTACAGACATGTTGGCGGTGAGTATGACAATGCTTAGCATCCAGGCTCCCAGGAGGCTTCTCAATCGCTAACAAGGTTCAGATTTCTCCACTTGTAACAGGTGTTGACTCATTAGTGCAATGTGAAACTGGGCTCTCAGGGTAGATACCCTGGCAGCTGATGTGTGAAATTGTAGGATAAGATGACACACTGGTATTGGAAAGGCGTTTCATCAAAAGGCCAAAGTGTGAGAAATCATATCCTCACTAATATTTCAGCACATTTACACAGTCAGAATCAGAATTTTTCTCTTAGAATCTTATTAGCATTTTCTGATAAATGCTGGTACAGACATAACTGTCCAAAGTAAAGAGAAAATTGTAAGTGTACATTAACAGTACAGTGTTGTTGTTTTTTAGTTAGGTCTTCATTATTATTATTCTCATAGAAACAAAAATTTTTGTGTGTGGTCTTAAATTAAGAGTAAACCTGGGGCCTCATGCATGCTAAACTTGTACTCTACCATATCCTCAGCCCTAGAAATATTTTCTTAAAATATTATAGTACTAAATTTTTTTACCAGAAAGAAATATCTATTTTCTTATTATTGTGCCAGAAAACTCTATCAGAATTCTTATACTAAAAAATTAGAATCAAGGGGCTGTGGCTGTGGCTCAGTGGCACACTTTCCTGGCATGTGAGAGGCACTGGATTTGATTCTTGGCACCACATATAAATAAATAAAATTGAGGTCTATCAACAACTAAAAATTATTTTTTAAAAAATTGGAATCAGATAGACTAAATGAGCATTAAAGGCTACAAAAAGAATTTATTTTCAGTCTTTACATTTACTGCCACTATGTAGGCAGCATCTTAATTCCTTTGGAGAATACTCTTACACATTTGAATTTAAAGGACCTTTCCCATTTATATTGTGTGCAATTATTATCTGTTCAGAGTCATTTTCCCCTTCAAATGGTGTAAATAAAATAAACTTTACTATTTGCCAGGGATTTGTATTGAAGTTAGTATGAGTATCCAACACCCTAAATTTTGTTTAACACATGGGTACCTTTTCACTCTACTTTTTTTTTCTGTGCAGAGTAAATTCAAACTCTGAGCCCCAGGTTTTAAATTAATTTTATTTAATACTTTGTATGGCTGATAGTTCATGCTGGTATTTTTGTAGGTTTTTTCTTATAAAGATAAATGAAACAGCAAAGAAAAGCGAAAAGAGACAAGAGCAAAAGAAAAGAATGAGGGAAGGGAAACCAGAGAAAATGTTCAATTTATTCAATCAAAGTTGTTTTTGTGAATAATATGGCTTTCCCATTTGTCCTCTGTACAACTATTATCTATTCAGAGTCATACTTCCCTATTTCAAAAGATTATCCCAGAATATTTTAGGATAATCTCAAAGAACTTTCAAGCCTATTTTTAATGACTTGAAACAATGTTGAAAAAATTTATAGGATACAAGGAGGAAAATCATACTACTTTGTTGAAATTTTTTTTAATTCATTCATTTATTTATTTATTTATTTTTGCATTACAATTCTTAATATACCATTATACCATAATTTATCATGTCTCTGATTATATATAAGGTTTGTTGACACCAAATTCACATCTTCATACATGTATTTTGTATAATGATGAGAGTCTCATGATCCATGCTATTCCCCTTCTCCCTCCTTTGCCCTCCTACCCCTATTCCCTATCTAGAGGTAATCTTCCTCCCTTGCTCTCCCTCCCAATCCCATTTTGAGTCACCCTTCTTATATCAGAGAAGACATTTGGCATTTGTTTTTTGGGGATTGGCTAACTTCACTTAGCGTAATCTTCTCTAATGCCATCCATTTCCCTGCAAATGCCATGATCTTATTATTTTTTATTGCTGAGTAATATTCCATTGTGTATAAATGCCACATTTTTAATCCATTCATCCACTGAAGGACATCTAGGTTGGCTCCACAGTTTAGCTATTGTGAATTGTCCTTAAACTATACTTCAGAGCAATAGTAACAAAAACAGCATGGTACTGGCACCAAAACAGGCTAGTAGACCAATGGTACAGAATAGAGGACACAGAGACTAACCCACAAAATTATAATTACATTATATTAGACAAAGGTGCCAAAAGTGTGAATGGAGAAAGAATAACATCTTCAACAAATGGTGCTGGGAAAACTGGAAATCCGTATGCAACAAAATGAAATTGAATCCCTAACTCTCACCATGCACAAAAGTTAACTCAAAATGGATCAAGGATCTAGGGATTAAACCAGAGACTCTGTGTCTAATAGAAGAAAAAGTAGGCCCTAATTTCCATCACTTGGGTCTAGGCCCTAACTTCCTTAATAAGATGTCTGTAGCACAAGAATTAAAACTAAGAATCAACAAATGGAATGGATTCAAACTAAAAAGTTTTTTCTCAGCAAAAGAAATAATATGTGAGGTGAATAGGGAGCATACATCCTGGGAACAAATTTTTACCCCTCACACATCAGATAGAGCTCTAATCTCTAGGGTATATAAAGAGTTTCACAAGATAAGCACCCAAAAAACAAATAATCCAATAAATAAATGGACCAAAGACCTGAACAGACACTTCTCAGAAGAGGATATACAGTCAATCAACAAATATTCAAAAAAATGCTCATTATCTCTAGCAATCAGAGAAATACAAATTAAAACTACTCTAAGATACCACCTCACTCCAGTAAGAGTGGCAGCCATTATGAAGACAAACAACAACAAGTGCTGGCGAGGATGTGGGAAAAAAGGCACACTCATACATTGCTGGTGGGACTGCAAATTGGTGCAGCCAATTTGGAAAGCAGTATGGAGATTCCTTGGAAAACTGGGAATGGAACCACCATTTGACTCAGCTATTCCTCTTCTCGGACTATACCGAAAGGATCTACTTTGTGGAAATTTTTATTATTTGATAGGAGAGTATTCTACAATGCTAGAACCCTTCATAGAGATAGTATCACACAATGGGGTCGTTCTCTGTGAAAATGTATCTTTTAGCCAGATGAGCTTTTTAAAATAGCCTTCCAGACAAACATTTGGCTAACAGGTATATGAAAGAAATATTTAGCATGACTAACTTTCAGGGAAATGCAATTTAAAAACACTGTTAGAAATGAGATGGGCATTATTACCCCTGTGTATGGGTATAATTGCACAAATGGTGTGACTCTACATCATGTACAACCAGAGAAATGAAAAGTTGTACTCCATTTATGTAAAAAAATGAAATTAAATTAATTTTTTTTAAAAAAAAAACACTTTTAGGGGACTGGGGTTGTGGCTCAGTGGTAGAGCGCTCGCCTAGCAAGTGCGAGGCCCTGGGTTCGATTCTCAGCACCACATAAAAGTAAATAAATAAAGATATTGTGTCCGACCACAACTAAAAAATAAATATTAAAAAAAAAACACTGGTAGAATGGCTATTGTCAAAAAGACAAACAAGCTGTTGGTGAGGATGTGGAAGAAAGGGAACTTTTGTACACTGTTAGTGGGAACATAAATGACCACAGCCGTTATGGAAAATAGTAGTAAAGTTTCTCAACTACTTAAATATAGATCTAGAAATTCTACTTCTGAGCATATATTCAAAGGAAATGAAACTAGTATTTCAAAGGGATATCTGCATTTTCATGTTCATTGCAGCATTATTCACAAATGGCCAAATTATGGAAACGACTTAAGTGTATCATTGGATGAATGGGTGAAGTGTGTGTGTGTGTGTGTGTATTTCAGTACATTTACACAGTCTGAATCAGAATTTATATATATATATATATATACACACACACACACACACATGCTATTCAGCATTTAAAAAGAAGGAAATCTTGTCATTTTCAACAACATGGAGGAATTTGGAAGCCACTCTGCTAAGTAAGCTAGTCACGGAAAGACAAACATTATACTGCATAATCTCAACTTACATTTGAAATCTAAAAAAGTAAAATTCACAGAGCAAAGGATACAATGGTGGTTGTCAGGTCCTGAGGAATGTCATAGGAGGTGTGTTGATAGTTAAAGGGTATAAAGTTTTAGTTATGCAGAATGAATAAGTTCTTGAGGCCTAATAGGCAGCATGGTGTCTATATTGTAATGTTAACAATATATTGTTAATGATACTATATTGTAAACTTTTAAATTTTTCAAGAGAGTTGATCTTATATTCCCACCACAAAAAAATTACAGCTATATGAGGTGGTGAATATATTAATTAGCTTGATTATGGTCATTGTTTTACAATGTATATGTGTATCAAAACATGTTGTACACCTTAAATATATACAATTATTATCTTTCAAAGCTGGAGAAAAAGAATCAACAAACAATAAATAACTAGCCTTCAAAAATGTTTTTAAAAAACAGAATGAGAATGCAAATGAGTAGTTTTATGTAAAGGAACAGCAACTCTGAATTACTTTTGTCATTTAAACTCAAGGTTTAATATTGTAGGTGATCTGGTGAAAGGTATTTGGATGGAGTGTACCTTCTCAGTGAAAATTTTCAGTTTACACAAGTTAATTATAAGTGTGAAATACCTTTGCTGTAGAGATCTGCCCAACAGAGGCAGTAGGAGAGAGAGAAAGAGAGACAGAAATGCACACACAGGTCATCAAAAACTGTAGAAGTTTGTGCACAGCAACATTGTTTGTAACAGCCAAAAACCTAAAGCCAATCCAAATGTTCATCAACAATAGAACAAATAAATTACAGTGTGTGAGTAACATGGAATATTATATATACAATAATGCCACAACAAGGGTCAGTTGCATAGCGTAATACTGGGGAAAAGAAGTCAGACACAGAAGAATATATACTCTAATTTTATTATTAAAAGTTCAAAAAGTAGACGAAACTAATCTGTGATGTTATGGAGAATAGGAGTTACTTTGGAAAGAGAATGGAGATGGGGCACAGAGAGGACTTCTGTGGGATACTGATAATGTTCTTTCTATTTTGTCTCCCCACTTCCAAGGCTGTGACTCCTGACATCATTCTCCCGCCCCCTTGCACACTCTCAGAGTTAGCTTTCATTTAGTTCTTCTGAACAGAAAAGGTTCCCATATTGGCTTTCAAACTTTTCTTCTAAACTCAAAATAAGCCTTTCAGAATATCTTCAGAACACTAAACCTCAAGATGCTTGGGGGGCAGTGGGGAGAAAGGGACAGGTTTATGGTCAGATAATTCTGTGGAATATACATCCTTACTTGAAAATCAGTGTACATTAACATGTTAAAGGCTCTTGTTTAACTGTATGTAGCCAAATATTTCTGCATGTTCTTTTTCCTTGAAGTCTTTGATTTTTCCTGTTTAAATGTCGTGTGCCCCTGCTGGAGCACACTTTGAGGATCACTGCCTCTGACCCTTTCACCATCTGTCTCGTGTACACTTGCCTCTGGATGCTACATGGATGCATCAAATTCATTCCCCCAACCACAGCCCAATTTACTTTAGAACCTCTTCTTTCTCCTACCTGCTGCCTATAAGTGTCACCACAGTTCCTTGTCATTTTAACCCTGAGCACAGAAGTGACTTTACATGCTTCCTTCAGGCTCCATATGAAATCAGGTCTGAAGCCATAGGGAGCAGTCTTCACCTCTCTTTGCACCCACTCTGCTGCTTCCCTCACTGCTGACCTTTTTCACCAGGTTGATTGCACTGGTTTCAGACCTCTAATTCAGGTTCCACTCTTACTCCTAAAGTCCTACTTTACATCCTTGAGCACACTGAGCTTCTGGAACAGAAGCATGTTTTCCCTTCCTCTCACTGCCAGAATTAGAACTAGTTGTCCTTTCTCCATTTGCTGTAGTAAAAGCTTATATTCTGAAGCAGGGGGCACTGTGAATGGAACCCTTTATTCTTGGCTAATGACAGCTGCTAGTTAGTGTTGATTTAATTGAAATCTAGTAAAATGCCTTCTTCAATATATACGTTCCTCCAATAGTGGACAAATAAATATCTAGTGCCTTGCTAGATATAGTGTTTTAGTAGTTCACTATATTATTTTACAAAGTAGTTCCTGGAGAACCATAAGAATTTTGGTAGGTAGTATCCTTCCTTTCTTCTCTTAGTTACCTCCAAACTAACTTCCTTAAGAGTTTTCCTTAATTGTTCTTCACAGAAAAAAAATAACATTAAGTTGATTTTGTTTACTCTGTTTTGTTATGAACACTAACTCTAAAATAGTATAAAATAATAGTGATTAGTTTTCCTAATTCTGAATGAATCTACAGACCAGTTTTCACAACACTTACATCCAAGTATGGTCATATTTTTTGTTCCTTGGAAATTTGCTTTTGCACTCAGGCAAATCTCTCTTGCTTAAAAATTCACCAGGAAAATAACCAGGCATAGTATGATATTATGTAGTCAAGATAAAATAGTTATTAAGATTAAGGTTTCCTCACAAAATTATGGAGAAGTAAAACATATTATTGCCTCTCCAGAATTTCTAACTTTCAGAAAGAAACATATGTGTTTCTTTCCTTGTGTGCAGGCACCTCGTGCAGAAGCTCTCACCATCCTGGGTTCCCTGGTGTGCTTTCCAAATACCTACCAGGAGATCCCTTTACTACCGTCAGTGCCGGAAGTGAATGAGGTCATTACAGGAACTGAAGATGTCAAGGTACGCAGAGTCTTTGATTTAACCTCAAGTTTAGCATATTGTAGTTTAGCTACATGATTATATCTTCTGTTCTTATATACTATCTACTTATTTCCTGAAATTTTGTCGAATCTTTTAAATGCTTCAGTAGTTATTTTCAGAAGTCTGTTTTAGGAGCTATAAATGTATCACATTCAGAGCATATTGCCATTAGACCTAATAGTTTATATTCCTTGGGTATTTTTTTATTAGATCTGTTTATTGTGCCTAGGGATCATAATTATGTAATGAATCATCCTTTGTAGTAATTTTATTAGATTAGTTATGCTGCATTAGTATATCAAATGAATTTATAAAGAATAATTGAAATAAGCTAAATACTCAATCCCATTGTTGACCTGATTAAATACTACTAATAATTTGAAATTTCAGATCATTTCTTAGAGAATAAAAGTAAGCATTTGTTCTCTCCTCAACTAGCTTTTGAGGCAAAAAGTAAAAAAAAAGAAAAAAGAAAAATCCCCTGCATTAATCAATCAATCTATAATACATAATTACAATATATAATTCAATATACAGTGTGTAATCCAATTAAAGTAAAAGAAAATGGAGATTTTCCTATCTGGAGGTCTCATTGCTTTGTGAGGCTTTCATTGGATATCTAGAAACACTCCCTGAAAAGACAAGCCCAATGTTCCTCCCTCCCCAGGCTCTCCTGAAGGAAAAGTTTCCTCAGCTCCCTGGTCCTTCAGTAGCTCCTGGTTGCCTGGAACATGATCAGAACATGTGGGAAACCAACCATGACACAAAGTTTTTATTTTACTTAATTTTGTGTTTTTAGCATTACCTCATAAATATTTTACTGAAGAATGCCACAGAAGAACCAAATGAATGTGCAAGGTAAATGTTGAACAAGAGGTAAACTATTTTAGAATTTTAAGATACACTTTTATGTGTAAACAGTTAAGGTTAAAAAAAACACGTTCTCTCACATTTGTTTTACACACATTAAAGTGCAGTAAGAATCATGTCGGGAAAAATTTTGCTTCATTATTTAAAAAGTTGTCATTACTAAGTGAAAATAGTAAGATATACACTCTCTTGTCTAAGAAAAAGTACGATTACAAATATATATATGTTTTCCATAAGAAGGAAAATGGAAGGATAAACAGTTTATTCAAATGATGTATGTATAGGGTAGTGATTTTCAACTGCTGCTGATTGTGTGCCCCAAAAGACATTTGGCAGTTCTGGAAACATTTTGGTTGCTTCTGCCAGGCATCTGAAGCTGCTAACAGTTTGTGACCATCTAGATGCTTCTATATCCAAATTCTATACATTTTAATATGTAATATTTTTTATTTGAACTTTTTTCTATTTTCCATTATAATTTCTTTATTGATTCATAAGTTTTTAGATGTATTTTTCTTAATTCCCAAGCATATAGTTATTTCTGTTTATCTTTTTACTACTGATGTCTTTTGCATTTGGGATCAAAAATCTCTTTGTCTTTAAAATTGCTGAAACTTGTTCTATGACCCACTATATAATCAGTTTTTTCATATGTTTTATATATTGTTGAAAAGAATGTATACATTGTTCTCTGACTGTTGAACATAGTGTTCTAGGTGTTTCCATTATATTAATTATTTTAAAACAAGTGCTTCATATATTCTGTATCCTTTCTAAGTTTTTTCATCAACTTGATCATTTACTGAAAGAGATACATTAAATTTTTCTATTATGATCACATTTGTTTGTTTTTCCTTGTATTTCTGTCACATTTGCTTTATATATTTTGAGTTTGTTATTAATTGCATACAAGTTTATAGTTTCCCTTTTCCTATAGTGAATCAAATCTCATACTTATATAGTAATCCTATTTATTTCTAAGGACGATTTTTTTTATATTAAAGACTACTTTATCTGATATTTACAACTATTTTATACTTTCTGTTCTTTTAAATTTTTCTGTCTGAATTTTTCTCTTTCAGATACCTTTGTTCAAACTATATATATCTGGGTCTTATAAATTTACCTGTCTGATCTTTATCTTTTAACTGAAACTGTGGTTTGTTTCTATTCTTCATAATTACTGATCTGTTGGATGTATTGTCATCTTATTTAATACTTTGTTTTAGTTGAGCTTTCTCAATATTTCTTTCATTTCCTCTTTCTTGCTGTCATTTCCTGCCTCCTGTTTTTTTTTCTTTTCTTGATTTTTTTCTCACAATCTACTTAGTATCTCTATCTTAAAGAAACCATAAACGCTTTTTTTTAGTTATTTTAGAGATTATCATATAAGTTTCAAGGATACGTACCAGTTCTGAAGTTAGTTTCTCTTTACTCTCTTCCTGTACAATACCTGCTCCTTAGAACTTAATTTCCTGATTTAGCCCCTACTTCATTGCCACTGCTCCTTTCCTATCTCCTGTGTTGACCTTTCCTTCTCTACCTAATCTCTGAAGATTAGAGTGAATCAGTGTTTAGGACTGGGCCTGTTTTTTCTCCATGACTTCCTGGGTGCTAATGAGTCTTTGTATACTATTCTAACCAACCTTCAAATGCCATCTACTTGCTGACGATCCTAATTTATTTACCTGGATCTTTAGTAAACCCCTTATATACTTAGACTTACATATTAAACTGCTTACTTGACATCTCAATTTGAATGTTTTAACATATCCAAACTTAATGCAACCATAACTGAATCCTTTAGTCTGCCTTCCGAAACCTCTGCCTCCCCTACAAGCCTGACTGCCCCTTAGATATCATTTCAATAAATGGCACCACCATCTACCCAGGTTTTAAACCCAGAAATTTGTAAGAAATCTTTAATTTCTCATTTTTCCCACACCTACCATATTTACACCATCAACAAGTCTTGGCAATTCCTTTTTCTCCCCTTTTTTCTTTAGCATAGAAAGCCAAATTTCTGTAGAGTTAAAAAATAGACAAAAAAACAAATTTTGAATTTTTTCTGTGATATAAGAAGGCTGATTCATAGTGGGAGAGGGAGAGGGAGCATGGGAGGAATAGACGAACTCTAGATGGGGCAGAGGGGTTGGAGGAGAAGGGAAGGCCTGGCATGAGGTTAGAAATGATGGTGGAATATTATGGTCATTATTATCCAAAGTACATGTTTGAAGACATGAATTGGTGTAAATATACTTTGTATACAACCAGAGATATAAAAATTGTGCTTTATATGTGTAATAAGAATTGTAATGCATTCTTCTGTCATATATAAATAAAATAAATAAATAAATAATTGAGAAACCCCCCCCCCCCCAATAAATAGAATCAAAATGTGTATGGTATGATCCTGTTTTCCTGGAAGAATATCTTGTTCTAGCACAGTGTTTAAAAAAAAAAGTAAAATTAATTTTGAAAGTTGCATTAAAATACTTTAAAGTAAAATACAGGGTTTTTCTTATGTGAGCAGTAGGCATTGTACATATTATTATAAGGAAGACAATTGTAAACTCAGTTTTCAATAATTTACTAAGATTTGTGTTTTTTACTTTTCCTCCAAACTTTATCAAAATAATAAAATGTAATAAATTAGTTTTAATAAAAATAAGTGATACATGAGCTGCGACAATTAACAGAAAACATGCCACTCACTTCATAAAATATTTAAATACTAATCATTATCAATGTTTCTATTTTTCCTGAAAATTGATCTGTTTGAAGTTCCCTATCTACTCTCTCAAGAAGACGTTCTGTTAATGTATTTTTTGATTTTTGCTGACTTGAATAAACAGATTTAAAATATTTCTCTTTTGAAAATATTAAGGAAATATGTAATTTCATAAGCATTTTTCTTCTTTTCCTTCTTTTTTAAAAAGATGCATCGCCATTTGCTCACTTGGGGTCTGGATCTGTGAAGAGCTTGCACAGTGTACCAGCCATCCTCAGGTGAAAGAAGCCATCAATGTGATAGGTGTAACTTTGAAGGTATTACCAATTCTTGGTATTTATTTCACATTAAACTATCTCCTAAGTATTTTTTATTTTAGTTTAAATCGAAATTGTTTGTTGCCTCTTATGTTACAAAAAGGAGGTGATTCAGAATTCCCTTTTTTGAGAGTCCTGTCAGTATGCTATGAGGTCACCAATGGCTGCTTACCCCATTGGCAGCTACCATCAGTCCACTGATTCATCTTCTGCTGGGCAGGTCCTAGGACAAGGAGGACAGCTGTTGTCTGTTGATGAGGGTGACAAGAAAGTGAGATTTCATGTCCCACACTCTTCAACATGACTGAGAAAGACCCCCACAGCTTCCAGTTTAGAGCACTGAGTGTTAATACATCATTGTGCTGAACTTTCAGTATTTATAGGACATCTTTCTTTGCTTTGTTAATGAGAAGAGTTATCATTTATTGGGCCCTCAAACAAGGTAGGAATAATGATAAACTTTCTAAATGCTTTTATGAGTATTTATGATAGCTCTTTAAGGTAGATGTTATACTCACCATTTTATACCAGAGAACATCAAGACCCAGAGAAATTAGGTTTTAAGTCTAAGGTTATTCAGGTAAAAGTGATGGAATCAGCATTGAAAGTAGATCTGTGTGATATTAAAGACATAACTGAACTTTTAATTATGCTGGTAGGTTGCTTCCTAAATGAGAGCTTCAATCCTGTGCTATCATGGTTCTTACTTAAAAATGTTGGTAAGGTTAGCATTGCCATAATTATATTTTCAGAACCAGTGAGCACCTTGTCCTGCCAGACACTGTGCTGAGAGCTTTGTGGTAGTTCTCAGTGGCAAGGTGAATGTCCCCATTTTACCATTGGAAGAATTGAAGTTCAAGAGAGTTAAGGAACTTATTTAAGTGTATGAGACGCCCTAGCTGAGTCAAAATTAAAGTCATAAACCATCCATCTGATACCTATGTCCAGGCCCTTCTTGCCCACCCTTCTTTGCTGCTTGCCACATGGAGCTATAATAGCAACAGCAATCAATAGCTGATGCTGGAACAGTCATCATCAGACCAGTGATATCCCCTGAGTTCATCATCTAATTGTATTCCCCATCCTTGTCTGGGCATTGGGCCCTCAATGATCTGGACCCCGCTGACCAAACTCAGGGCTTCTTGTTCCCCAAGTGTACCTTTGACACTGCCCCATCACCTTATCCTCCCCTGTCTCTCCTCCACAATTGCTGTGGTGAGTGATGCCAGTTACATCATAGGAGGTAGAAAAATTCTTGCTGTGATTCCTGTGATGAAGAATGGAAAACTATTTAACCACAATACCATATTGTGAGTGTTCTTTCTGGACAGGATGCTGACCACTGGCCTTTGTCATCATACTCATTCCTTAGAACCATCCTGTGAACCACCTGTACTTCACAGATGGGAGAAATGTACTGACTGGGAGTCTGGGGAACTTTCCAGGTCAAACCCAGGATACTCTAGCCATGTGTGTGAGGATTTTGTACACCAAATGCAGAACACTTATGATTCCCTAAGCCACAAAGAAATATTTACATGTGATTAGTAACAGAAAGGTCCCATTTCATTTTTTAAATATCTTATTTAAGGTAGATGTTTATCTCAATCTAAGATTTATTTTTCAAATTTTAATTTTACTTAAATTTAGACATATATATTTAATGCAAAGTGTTTCCCCCATTCCTATCCCTTACCTGGAAAAACTGTTTAGAAGTCAATAATGTCATTCATAAATACATATATGAATATATGTATGTATATATGTTTATAGTATAGAAGAGGGAAAGAAATAGATAACAGAGTAAAGGGATAAATGGATTTTCTTCTTTGTATTTCTGTGACTTTTCAAAGTTTCTACAGTTCTTCTGTAATTAATAGGAAAAACATAAGGTACCCTAAAAAATGCAATTAAACGTACTGAGTTCTTATTCTGTCAGACAACCATTAAGCACAGTCCTACTGAGTCCTCCACAACTCTGGATAGATGCTCTCTTTTATTTAGGAATAAAAGAGAAGGAGCACAAGGAAGAAAGGAACTGGTTCCAGCTTGATTTAAGCCATTGACTTAAGCATATTGACTTTAAGTCCTGTTCTCTGGGGACACTTCCATCTGATTCCTGTTTAAGGACATAGTATATAAATCTAAGAAGAACTGAGGACTACAAAGGAAAGAGTTACCAGAAAGAACAAAGGAACTGGCAACCACTTTGAGTCAAAGGACTTGAGGGAGTCTCTGAGACTGCCAGGAGGGAGAAAAATGAAGAGGCGACAGTAGCAATGGTTTTGGTTTCCTGCTCCCAGATGGTTTATACTGCAGAGAATACAAGCTCCTAGGACTCCATATAGTTTCCAGCATTGCCTTTCTTATAACTGAGCCCTTCAGAAACAGCCAACAGAGGTGACCCAAGTGTGCTCACAGATGTGGGAGGGGCACAACCAGCCATGAACTGGGGAGGTTTTCCCCAAGGGGTGTTAATGTAAACATGTCTGCAGCCACAGTGAGTGGGATCAGCCCAGTTGGGCTACTGTACAAAGAATTTCACTCCTCCACTTGTTTGCATTTGGTGGGGCAGCAGATGAGTGTCTGGTGTGTGGTGGTTCTAGGCTACCAGCACACTCAGAAACTCTGGATGTTCCACCTTGGAGGACTGAACTATAGAAATAGAGAGGCAGGGTTGGGGCTGTAGCTCAGAGGCAGAGCACTTGCCTAGCATGTGTGAGGCACTGGGTTCAATCCTCAGCACCACATAAAAACAAATAAATAAAGGCATTCTGTCCATTTACAGCTACAAAAAATAAAAATAAAGAAATAGAGAGGCATAGGCTAAGGCTCAGGCAAACAGCTCATCCCTTCCTCCCTGAGCAACCTGCTCTCAGCCCCACCTACTGCTCTTTCCCCTACCTGCTCTCCCAGGCATCATTGACTTTCTCCTTCAACATGGTGTGACCAGGGTACTAGGACAGGGTACTGTGCAGGGCATACAGAACCAGGACAGGTCCCTGCCATCCCCATGACACTGTCAGTTCTTTAAAGTAGGATCTGCCTGTCCTTTTCATCTTATTCCTTTAATTGTCTGCTTTTAATTCATGTTGGCACATTGTCAGTTTTCCTTTGCTGTGTGCTGGATGAGTGAATGAATGACTTGTTTCATCTCCACCATTCCCCACCTCGTTCTTATATGTCAGTACTGCCACCCTTATGGTAGCTTCTACTCTTCCTGAGGTCCTTTCCTACCTTAGTACCTGTGCCCTGATACTCCCCACACAGGAAACCCTGGCTCTCCATCTGCATTCTTCCAGGCACAGCTCAGCTCTTTCCCCCCTCTGTAGTCATTTTTTCTGCCTGTCGTGTCTCCCCACCTCTCTCTGCCCAAAGCCCTTTTGTCTTGCCTGCTACAGGTCTCACCATTTTCTTCTTGTATATTTCTAGCTTCCCGAGTTAAGAGACTTGCCAGCATCCACTCCCTTTTTCCCAGTCCCTCAGCATTTTATCTTCCCTTAAGCTTACCATGCACATCCTTCAGGAAGCCATGCTAGGCATTAGGTATAAAATAGTGACTCATAATATGTAGGAAAATAATCAACATGTCAGATAGGTCCTGACAGCCCTAGTGCCATGAAGGATATATAACAAGGATGAGATGAAGCTGAAGTGCTGGAAGTGGTAGGCTGCCAATCATTTGGATGAGTGTGGTGGCCTCCTGCAGGAGATGACTTTTTTTGCCAGAATCAGAAAGATGAAACAGTGCAAGCTCCACTGGGGTATGGGTGTTCAGGCAAAGCTAGGAGTGGGTACAAAGGCAAGGGCAGAAAAAAGCCAGGGTGTTGGAGAAATGGAAGAAGGCTAGTAGAGATCGGGTCATCTGGGTCTAGATGGCTGTGGAAGGTTATGAAGAGCTATGGGTCTACCTCACACCTCTCAGGTAGTGCCTATCAGTAACTGTTTATTCTGTAGAATTAAAATTAATCATATTTTCCTTACCTTCTTTGTCATCTTGTGTGCTTGTCACTGGGGTACTAAACATTGACCTTTCAGTGTTATTTGTATTGTGCACATGTCAGTTGGTGGCTACTTGATGTGACTTGAGTGAGTTTTTCTAGTCCAGTGACAGATCACTGACAAATTCTTCTGCTCTAGCTAATGAGTAACAGATAGTCTTGTAACCCCAGGTTCTGGCTAGGGAGAAAAGGACAGGGTGCCCTTTCATGTTCCCCTAGCATAGTAAAGTAAGGTCTTTCAAATACTGCCTCTTTGACATCTATCTCACAAGAAATGGAAGCATCTAGAAGATGGTGGTGGTAGAGACACACACCAGACTCAGGAGTGGCATTCAAAGTTAATGAGTGTGCCATAACGCAAGAGTTACGTTCTCAGAGTCTCTAATTTTACAGACTATAGTATGTTAAACATATAGGCCAAGTTTCATTTCAAAATATAGAAATTTATTTGATCAATCCCTTTGTCTCTATGTATAAAATGAAGAGAACATCTACTTTACAGAGCTGTCAATGAAGATTTATCAATAAGAGAATGAGTAAAATTCTTGTAAAAGGTTCAGTGGATTCCCTAAGTACATGCATGAAAACATGAATGGTGTGACTTGTACTTTGTGTACAACCAGAGATATGAAAAATTGAGCTCTATATGTGTAATATGAATTGTAATGCATTCTACTGTCATATATAACAAATTAGAATAAATTTTTAAAAGATGAAAAGAAAGTGATGTGAAAAAAACTTTTTGTAAAATCAGAGTAATGGGAGTATTGGGGAGTGAAATTGATGAAATTATGTTTTATGTATGTACAATCATGCTGCAATGAAACTAACTGTTCTGTATAATTAAAATGTACCAATAAAAAAATAAATGCTGAAAACAAAAAGGTTCAGCGGATAAGGGACATTCAGCAACATACTCTATTATGTAATTTCCTGTAGTTGGAAAAAAAATGGTTTATGTGAGCTGAAGTTTTTCAATTTCAAGTGATTAAATGGCAGCTACTTATTTCTATACAAAAATTGTATAAATTGACATAATTAAGCTAAACAAGAGCCAGTTTTAGAATGGTGGTGTGATCATGTATGACTTCTCTATTAATCATAGTTTTCATCAATTTTATGCAAAACAAATATACTGTAATCTGAGAAGAAATTTTATTCTTCCTTAGGGATAATACACCTGTCATGTATTTATTTTGGAATTTTGTTTCCTTTTATAGTTTCCTAACAAAATTGTGGCTCAGGTAGCCTGTGATATTCTTCAGTTGCTGGTTTCCTACTGGGAAAAACTTCAGATGTTTGAAACCTCTCTGCCTCGGAAAATGGCAGAAGTAAGTCCTTTTCCTTGAATGCTAAAACATACACATTTCCTTTTTAGTATATTTGATATCTGATTAATTAGAGACTCTCAAATAATTACTAGAGAACCAACCATTAAATTGCGATGTGGGTCTCATAAGAGCAAGCTGGACTTGTTCTTCTCAGCTATGATTCTAGGCACTACAGAAAGAAGCCAGCAGTGTTCCAGGGCAGACACTGATACTTGGGGAGTTTGAAAGGCAGATACATCCACAACAAAGAGACCTTTTATGGATTGGGTCTTCATTCATCTCAAGTAATTTGGATGGTGCCAACAAGGAGTAAGCAGCTGGTTATGATGCCCTCTGTGCAGGGCGGAGGAGGTGTCTGTTGTGTAAAGCAGGAGTTCCTCCAAGACAAAGCCCTGGACCCTTCTGTCATAGCATGATTACCCATCTGTGATGAGATTACCACTGTAATACCCTCTTGTTCCATTGGTTGGTGGGATTGGAGAGGAGAAGGATCAGGAAGAATAATTTCAACCATAGCATCCTAAAGTGAGTTCCATCTAAGAATGCTTTGCTTATATATGAGCAAGTGTCCTCACTCATAGGTACCTGGTGGCAAGTCACATCCATTCCTGCCAATTTTTATAGCTGCACTTTTAAAACATGTTCTGTCTTTACACATCCAGGGGTAACTGTTTGAAGAAATTTGATTTGTCCCCATAAGGGATTGTAGGGTGAGAGAAGAAGTGATGTTGATTTATTTTCTCTCAGCCCTAGACAAATTTCACTGGAAAGATTACTTTGTTCTCCCAGAAACACATCAGAAGTCAAATATATATATATATATATATATATATATATATATATTTATCTTAAGTGACCTACAGTGAAATAGAGCTTTGGATATAGTAATATAAGATGTAAAATGTAAAGTTGGATTTTAGGGCAACCCTATAGTTTGTCACCTAAACAGGAATACTTTTGTGAATTAAAGGGGTGCTATGACAGCAGGACAGCAGGTACAGACTGGGGTAATTATAAGAAATTGAATAGGAACATTTTCATAATTACTCTTAAGTCCTTTTTTATTTCAATATGAAAAGTGAGAGAACTGATGGTAGAAGTTATATGACTGCAATGAGAGGTAGTCCTTTCCCTTGAGCCCCCAATTACACCACCAACAGATTATGTGGAAACCAAATATGCCCCCATGCCTTCCCATAATTTTCAAGATCATACCACACAACTGACCCTCAGCTTTATATCACCTTCCTCCAGTGAGTTAGCACAAAGCTGGATTTCATTGCAAGGTCACCTTTTAAGATATGGCTTCTAAAACTATTATGCTGGTCTTTTTGGCACTTATCTTTTATGCAGATCCTTGTGGCTACAATTGCTTTCCTATTACCAAGTGCTGAATACTCTTCAGTGGAAACAGATAAGAAGGTAGGTGGCACATTAGCTAACTTTTCTCTAGAGTTTGTTTTTAAATGTAAGACAGAATTATAAATGTAGTATAAATAGTGATAGCCTTTATAATATCTGCATACATTGATTTTAACAGATTATTAACATATTTTAACAGATGCATTAATTTTTATGAAAACGCTATCTTATATTTACTTATCTACCTAGAATTTGGGTGTCCATTCAATAATTTGTATATAGAAAGAATTTTCTTATATATTATTATACATAGTGATGTTTAAAAGACTGCAACATAACATAATATTTCTTCTTCCAGTTTATTGTATCCTTACTCCTCTGCCTCTTGGACTGGTGCATGGCATTGCCAGTGAATACCCTTCTCCATCCTGTGTCCACAGTGGTCCTGGAGGAGCAGCACCCATCCCGGGCCCCCTTGCTGGATTATATCTATAGGGTAAGTCTTCACTTGAGCCTCAAGGCATGGACTATGGACCTACATGTCAGAAAACTACCAAAATGTCTTTTGTGCACTTATTTATCTATGCCCTTTTGAAAAAGGACTCGTGACGAGTTAAAATATTTAAAAAGAATAACTTGAGATCTGAAAGGAGGAAGATAAAGTTTTAGAGAAGTAATGATTACCAAGTTAAAAATTCATGCATTTTTATGACTCTCATCTTTAATTTTAAGTAGGCTATTCTTTGATCAGTATTCCCCAATTTTTATGGAATGTGGTCTCTGGGTACTTAATTTAGAAAAGAATTATTTATATTATAGGAATAATCACAGTGTTCACTTGCCAAAAATCTGTTTATGCAAGGTAGGAAAATGTATAATAGTTACAGTAATCTGGTTGCTTTAAAAAACATTAAAAATAAATTAAAGAAGTTAATCTCGTGAAAAATAAGAATACTTCAAAAATCTTAGTTAAATTTGCTTTTACTAAACTATACTTTAAAAATTGTTCATGGGATCATGAGTCATGCTGATTTAAACTTAAAAACTGTCTTGAATTGGCCAGTAGGCTCTGCTCATTGAGCCCATTCTGCCCTCCACCACAAATAACTTATCCCCCAGCCACCCTTCACCTCCTGATTCATTTTCTTCTACCTGTGTCTCCTTTGGTGGATGGAGGAGGCCTTAGGTATGTGCAATCACTGAGAATGGTGAAATAATCACTTTTTAACTTTTCTTTTGCTTTGAGAATATATTTATTGTCATTGATGTGAAAGAACACATCAGTGTCTTGCTAACAGCAAAAAGATATTTAAGGATGAAAAAGACCCAATTTTTTTAAATATTTTTTTTTAGCTGTAGTTGGACACAATACCTTTATTTCATTTATTTTTATGTGATGCTGAGGATTGAACCCAGGGCTTTGCACATGCTAGGTGAGCGCTCTACCGCTGAGCCACAACCCCAGCAGGACCCAATGTTTTGAAGTATTCCCAAATAGGAGTCTTAGCTCTTAAGAGCCATGGTGATTGGACATCATGAGTATCAGGGGACAGGAGATGATGACATCCAGGGTGCCATTTCATCTGTTTTCCACAGGTTCTGCACTGCTGTGTTTGTGGCTCAAGCACATACACCCAACAAAGTCACTATACACTGACTCTGGCTGACTTGTCATCCACGGATTATGACCCCTTTCTGCCACTGGCAAACGTGAAGAGCTCTGAGGCAGTTCAGTATCATTCATCAGCAGAACTGGGGAACCTGCTGACTGTTGAAGAGGGTGAGTATCGTTCCAAATATATCTTGTGAATAAGGAGAAGGAAAGATTGAAGCCTTTTGTCCAGTGCTTGCTGTGTTATTATTACTGTTTTTAACCTGGTTGTTGAAGTTAAAATCCTAGTTTTTAGAGTCCTCTATGGATGGCAAATTCTGCTTTCCCTTTTTGTTTCCCTGGGGTTTTTTTGCCGTTTGGGGGGGGGGGGGTTGTTGTTGCTGTTGTTGTTTGTTTATTTGTTTTTTTCTCTCTGCTCCTTCCCCTTCTTAGTTATTCAAACAGCTTTGTGTTATTAAAGATCCATATGTCTCAGACCCATGGAATTCTCAAAAAAGTTTCATTTTGTGTCCTCAAAGAGTTTTGCGTCTGATTGGAGAGACAAGAAAACTCCAGAAAGAATCATTTCAATTTTGGACTAGTGGCACCATGGGAGCTTCCCATTGAGAGGGACCTAAGCTAACCTTGGCAGGATGGGCAGGCTTCGAAAAGAGCTTATAGACTCTTCCAGAGTAGGAGACCCTCATGGAAGGAGATGGGAATTTACTTACCCCTGTTTGAGGATGTCTCTGCTTGTAGCAAAGTCCATTTTAGAGTCTATGAGGATTGTCAGGACTTTCCTCCTTAACCATCCCCCGTCCCAAATGATAAGCACCCAGCTCTAGAATTTGGATTGTTGAGTTGGAAGGTAAGTGTGGCATCTGTATGAGTGATCAAATTACATAGAATCAAACATACAAATGGGTGTATGTAAAACTGGCAAACATTGAATAATATGAGTGGATTAATATCAGTGTCAGTTTCCTGATTGTGATATTATGCTGTGATTATGTAAGATGTTACCACTGAGATGAAGACTATTTGAGATCTCTCTGTATTATTTCTTATAATCATATGGATCATTAGTTGTTACAAAATTAAAAGTTAAAAAATGTGGGTGTGGAGTGCTAGACCATCCAGGGAAGGACCAAGAAAGAAACATGTCTAGGAAGTCATGGGAAGAAAGCAGGTGGCACTGAGGAAAGTCAGCAGTGCAGATGCCTCAGAAACTCTTGGAGAAGCTGAGAGCAAAAAAAGGAGCTGATTTATTTCCCAGTGGTGTTTGGCCATGAGTTTTGCCAGAACACTTTGGGCAGAGTGGTTAGTATAGCCAGATAGATCACTCAGAGACTTGAGACAGATCCCTCTTGTGGGGCTGGTGAGAGATGGAGTGCTGTAGGCCATACTTGAGGGCCCATGGTACAGGGATGATTGTAGGACCATGGAGTCTGAAGTATGAGTCAGGTGAAGATGAAGGGAAAGGTGAGATGAGGATGAAAAAGAGTAGGGCCTTGAAATCTGACAGTTCTGAATTTTAACTTCATTTGATAGACAAGCAAATGAAAGTTAAGGGATTTTCTCAAGACTGTACAAGTCAGAAATAATGGAGGTGGGATTTGAGTCTAAGACTTAATGACCATTTTCCTGAAATAAATTTTTCACTGAGATTTTTGTCATAGGCTAAAGACTCTTGTTTTGAGTTATTCTGGTTGTGGTAAACTTCTGTTATCCATCTTTTTTTTTTTTTTTTTTCTGTACCAGGGATTGAACCCAGGGCCTTTTACCACTAAGTCACATCCCTAGCCCTGTTTATGTTTTATTTAGAGACAGGGTCTTGCTAAGTTGCTTAGGGCCTCACTAAGTTGCTGAGATTGGCTTTGAACTTGAAATCCTCCTGAGCTGCTGGAATTTACTGGTGTGTGCCACTGTACTCAACTCACCTTCCATTTTCTTAATCATTTAATTGTCTTTTCCTGGAATTCCACTGTCTGTTAGCTGTAATATCTTCTTGAAATTTTCCCCACAATTATAAATTCAAACCATATTTATATTAAGTAATCAGAATAACTCTTGATCCATTTCTTTTGCTGTTTCCTCTTTTGCAATCCATGTCTTACAAGAAATTAACTTACTTTTTCCTAAAGTTATTGACATTTATCCCACATGGCTGTCTCTAAAACAGGTTCACTACTCAATATGACTTGTTTCTTGAAAATAGCAAAAGATTAATAGGTTAGTGAAAAAGGAAAAACCTAAAAATGCACTCTGATTTTGATACCATTTTCCTTTCTATGCACAACACTCCTTGACTTGAATATTCATTCTCCAGAAGACTTCAGGATCTTATGCACCTGTTCCCAACATAGTTCTATGGTACTAAAACTAATTGCTCAAACTTCTATGACAAAAGAATTTTTAAAATTTACTAGCAATTTAACTAAGTAAAAAACAAGATGCTTAAAAACAATATTGGCATGCACAAGCACTCTTGCTAAGTGGGTACATCTTGTTAAGAGTGAAGAGGATAAATAAAGGTAGTAGATTTTAGGTTAAATAAAATGTGCTCATTTATTTCACTCATTGTCACAATTTGTCATTCATTACAAAACTATTTGAATTAGATAATGTCTCTGATAAGCAATATTATATTTTTATCTGTTATTTTTTATGATTCTTTCTTAGACTATTATCTAATACTAGGTATATTTACTACTTTAAAAGAAAGATACAAGGAGACATGGTAAAGCTATCAATAGTAGACTTGTTTGCTCAGATTGCTTATCACTTATACCTAATTACTTAAAAGAGAAGGGATTGGAGGGGTTTCAAAAAATGAAATTTAAAGGATAACCTAAAATACTACTCTTATATTTCATCCATAAGTTTAGGAAAATAAAATAAAGATATTTGAACTCTATTTTTTAATAATTTGTGGAAGTCATGAACTTGTTTTTTCATTAACCGTCCAACTTTTTTCTTTGTTTTTCAAAGAACCCACAGGCAGTGCAGTAAGTCATTGTTATTTCATAAAATATTCCCTTTCTTCAGTTTTCAGTATCAGAGCTATTTTAGATTTTTATTGGATGTGTCATTGTGTCATGGTTTATAACCTGATCAGTGTGACTCCAGGTTAATTTCCCATTACAGAATTCAAATACATTCATAGAATACACATTTATATTTACCTTAAATTGAAAGCATAACCTATGTAAGTAAAGGTAGAAGAAAGGTGACTTTCTAATTGTTATTTTCTACCTTGGGCCTTTATCAAATTAGACCTTTATTGGTGAGAGTTTTATGCCAGTTCTGCCATGCAAATATGTATGAAGTAATTTGCATTATGAACTCACCAACTCTTGGCTAGCTTCATGTTTGCTCTTTGGGGCATTAACATTTCTTAGCTTGAGTGTTAAATCTGGGCCTTAAATTTCTTAGTTGTGTGGAAATCATATTCACTTCTCCCAGGGTTTGGGAGAGAAAGTTTAGTTTCAGAGAGAAATGTAGATGACTTCCTTTGCTTCTAAAAAAAAAAAAAATGAGTGTTTTGATATGAAAATTTATTTTCCATTATTGAATACATATTTCTTATTCATTATTAAAAAAAAAAAAAAAAAAAAAAAAAGAAATCCAAGAAAACTCAAGATGATCTTACTCTCCTCAGTCATTACCCAGAATTTCTTAGATTGGGGGATTTGATTTTTTTACCTCCCTTACGTTTCATACATCATAAAACTGATGTATCATAAATAAGTCAATTAGATTTTAATTTCTAAGGGGGAGGGTATGCAGCATTAAAATATTTACATTTACTTAGGTTTGATTAATATTTGTTTTTTTCATATTTCCTAAAACTTCAAGCTCAAATTATAAACCTTAGTTTATTTAAATATCTAGATTTTTTTTTCTGTTAAAATTAGCGGTTTCATTTTCACTTGTTCTTAGATTAAAGCATATTGCTTTCATAAATTTGACAGATTGAAATTTCCATAATTACTTTTAAGTTTAAATCATCATTTCAATTCATGTAGATTTAGTTTATCTGCTTCTTCCTCCTTATGCTTTATTTTACAAGACCCCCTTACACTATTGTTGTCAAAGTCTTTGTATACTTTGTAAGTATTAAAAAATTTACACATCAGTTGCTTTTGAGCATTTAATCTTCAACTAAAAATTTAGTTAAAGTCTTCTAAGTTTCTCCATGATTCATTAGTATGTCAGATTCTCTTAAATATTTAAAATGCTCTAACAACTAAACATAAATTGTCACAATAATTATTAAGCCAATTGCTTTGAATATATTTAAGCAGTCACAAATTTGATTAATTTCCTTTCCAGGTCTACATCCACCCCATCAAGGGAAGCAAGGTACCTCCCTAAGCTACTCTCCAGCCCCTAGCTGCCCCTGACTCTGAATTTTGTCCTTACCAGAGCTCTTTGAACTATGAGCTCCTTGGGTTTTGTTTTGTTATTGTGGTGTTGAGAATCAAACCATGGGCCTCAGGTATGCTAGGCAAGTGTTCAACTACTGAACTATACCCCCAAAACTGACAACTCTTTAAGGAAAAGGACATTTTGCTTTTTCTAGTCCTATGTCTACAGAATTTTTAACATCCCTTTCAGAATGAGTTCCTCCTGTAAATTGTTTTTTTAGTAGTCCATTTGAGTTATGCTTTTAAATTAAAATAGAATTGTTTAAAATAAATAGTTGAGGGCTGGGGATGTGACTCAGTATCATATCAGTGCCTGGTATGCCCAAGACTCTGGGTTCAATGCCCATACCAAAAAATAATAAAATAAAATTAAAAAGTTGAAGCAAAGTCCTAGACTAAACCAACAAACACCGAAACCTGGTGGCATTCAGTTTTAATCTTCACTGTCTGTTCATTCTTGGCTGTTCACAGAGAAAAGGCGAAGAAGTGTGGAACTGATCCCTCTGACTGCCCGAATGGTGATGGCCCACCTGGTGAACCACCTGGGTCACTACCCTCTGAGCGGAGGCCCAGCTGTGCTGCATAGCCTTGTCAGTGAGAACCACGACAATGCCCACGTGGAAGGCACTGAGCTGTCTTCTGAGGTGTTCAGGAGCCCCAACCTGCAGCTGTTTGTATTTAATGACAGTACCCTCATTTCCTACCTTCAGACACCTGCAGAAGGACCTGGGGGTGCCCTCTCAGATGTGAGAGTTATTGTGAGGGATATATCAGGGAAGTACTCTTGGGATGGAAAAGTTTTATATGGGCCTCTGGAGGGACACTTAGCACCCAATGGAAGAAATCCCTTATTTCTAATTTCGGGCCACCATCATCACACATTTGGACCTCAGAAAGATCATTCCCAAATCGAAGAAGGAGATGATGTCCTTGACAAACTACTTGAAAACATTGGCCACACTAGTCCCGAATGCCTTTTACCATCACAGCTAAATCTAAATGAGCCCTCCCCACCCCCATATGGCATGAACCGTGAGCAAGAAAAGGAAATCATTGAGGTCATTTTGCGCCAGAGTGCACAGGAAGACGAATATGTTCAGAGGTGTAACTCTGATTCTTCAATGAAAGTTACCAGCCAAGGGCAACCCTCGCCAGTGGAGCCCCGAGGGCCTTTTTATTTCTGCAGGTTGTTACTCGATGATTTGGGAATGAATTCTTGGGATAGAAGGTAACAATACATGCTAGTCCTTAAATTATCTTTTTCAAATAATTTTTCTTTTTTTTATCAACTTAGGGTCAGGGAAGAAGAAAATAAAAATGGAGATTTTTTTCACTATTTCAACATTATTTTGATAATGATAATAATTAAAATTTATTTTGGCTGCTAAATTAAAGCCAGAAATGGAACTAATTATGCTGTACTAATGCACACATTGAATTCTAAATACCTATTGAATGTTTTAGAGTTTGAAGTATTTCCTTTGTGTATATGTTTTATTTACTTACTTCTCTGGCCATTATCATTTCTACTTTAATGAAGATGTAAATGGCAGATACGCCTTAGATCTGATGAGGGAGGTGGGTGTAATGAAACTTTGATGAAGCATAGAGTGGCCCAGGAGTTCAAGAGGAATGATTTAGTCCAGTGGGAAGTATGGGACAGTGGAGAAGACCTCAGGGAAGAGGATAGATTTGACTGGATCCCGATAGTGGAGTACAGTTTTTAAAGAAATAAGTGTTATGCAGAAATTTGTAGGAGAGCTGACTGAAAATACAGAACAAGGCCACACTCAATTTATCAGAGTCATCCAGTGTCACTGGACAGTAATGGGATGCAGTGGGATTTTTATGCCTTGACATATGAAGGTGAATGGACTTGATTCTATCACAGATATTTAGTGAAATGAGGTAGCAGATGGATGGATGATAGATAGGTTTGTTAACTAACTCAAATGCAGCAAAACTGACCATTGATCACATGATTTTTTTCTTCCATCGTTTTTTTCTTTATAGGAAGAATTTTCATCTTTTGAAGAAAAATTCAAAATTATTGAGAGAATTGAAAAACCTGGACTCTCGCCAGTGGTATGTGAAAGTATATCAGACCACCTTTTCCAGTTCACCTGTGTATGTGTGCTTAGAACCCATGGGTAGTTCTGTAACCTGGAATCTGCTGACATTTGCCCCATCAAACCTTTGATATTTATACCCTTTAGGAATAACTCACATTTGTTACTCTAAGAAGAGGTCGGGGCTCCCACTTAACCTCTGCTTTTGATTGAATACCTTTCTATGTCGCAGTCAGTGGACATCCATTCTCATTTATTCTCTGCAACTGTCTCTTTTTCTGATAAGGAAGTAGATATTTACCTAGATTAAACAAGTCATAATCACCTATACCATATTATTTGAAACCATATGAGAGTGACTTCATAGTCCTTGCTGTGCAACCTGCACTGGCATTCTGTAGTCTTGGCTTTAAAATGTTGGAAAGGTTAGAACAAGCATGTTGAAATTAATAACTCTCTATTAATGTCTCATTTTCAAAGCTGGTTACATTCTCAAATCTACCCTTTTTTCTGTACAATATCAGAATCATTTCTAGAAAGGAGTTCACAATCATGAACAGTTTTTGATTTGGGGAAATATGTGCTTCCAAAACCACCTAAGTTAAGAATATAATCCTCAGCATTTGACAGATACTTGTTAAGTCTTGAATAAACTGATTCCTTAATGTTTAGTTTAAAAAAAAAAAAAAAAAGCTCTTCAAAAATAACAACAACAACAAAACCCTTTGCTTATTCCCCTTTAGAAATATCTTAATGTTTCATTGGCACTCAAATTTAGGTTGTTTTCCCCAGGCTTGTTTTTCAGCTCTTCCCACTATATTTTATTTTCCTACATTTTTCTTACTCCTTCTTAACTCACAGATTTGTAAATATATTTGAGCTTAATGTTTTCAAAGGATGCTTAAGAAGCAAGAAGGAAAATAAATGACAAAGGCCGGCTTTATCTTTATGGGTTCTATCCTGGCATTTGGAAAAATAAGCAAAGCTTTTATTTTATTCACTTAATCATTCATTCACTCTCTATGGTGCTTCCACTTTAAGGCACTTGATTCTCTTGCCTGGTACTTACAGGGAGGAGTTATGACCTGCTAAACAAATATTTTCACCACCCTGTGTTTAGATGGCATTCTTATGATTTTTATAGTTTATTTTAGAGTTCTGTTCGAACTCAAAGTGACACATAATTAAATTTTATTTTCATACAACTTCTTGGTTCATGTCACTATGATTGGCCTGTTAGGTTCACAATTGTGATTCTTGTGGTTTGAATTTCTTTTTTCTTTCTTTTTTTTGGTATCAGGGATTAAATTCAGGGGCACTTGACCACTAAGCCATATCCCCAGACCTGTTTTGTATTTTATTTAGAGACAGGGTCTAACTAAGTTATTTAGCATTCGCTTTTGCTGAAGCTGGTGATCCTCCTGCCTCAGCATCTTGAGCTGCTGGAATTACAGGCATGCACCACTGTGCCCTGCTTGAATTCTTAAACTAGGTATAAATGTAAGAAGTAGTGAATTCCAGTTTTAATTTTCTCTTAAATACTTGAATTAAAGTATTTTAATTGAATTAATTTTAAAAGGTCCATTTTTATGTCACTGAGGACCAAGAAGATCAAATCATATTAAGCTTACTTATAGCTATGTGTCCTTTCTCTCCTTCAGAAACATCTAGAATTAAGATTTGAGTCTGTATGGGAATTAGAGTGTATTGGTTTTCTTTTTCTTTTCTCCATTGTTCTACCTTCCCACATTGCCTTCATTACTCAGGACTTCTTATAACCTACACATTGAGGAATGAACTATTTCATGTATGTTTTCTGAGTCTCGGACATGCCAGGATAGCTGATCTGAGGCAATATGAGAGCCTTTTCTTCTAGGTGGCTTTACCACTCTCTGGAGAGTGATAAATATTTTAGTATTATGGAATAGACAGAATTAAAAAGAAAAGAAATATATAGGATTAAATGATTTATTTATAGTTGTACCTGGGGAAAGGAACCTTACTCGGGCCTGAAGGCATTAGCTCATTGTCATTGTAAATGTCTTTATTTCCTGATTTATTAAGTGAAATCTATAGTGAAAAATTTGAGCTTAAAGAATTTTTTAAAACTCATTAGAGATGAAGAATCTGAAGTGTTATTCTTCAGATAGCTCTTTATTGGATTCATTTTCCTGCTTCTTGTTGTTATTTTCTCTCTAGAGGAATACAGATCAGGTTCTCTGGAAATTTTCCTTGAGGGGTTTCTTCTGAAGGACTCAGGGATTTACTTCCTTCTTCCTCTTGTGCTTCAGTATTAAATACTTAAATATTAAATACTGAAGTATCCCAATCTCAGCTTTTTAAGTATATGCTGAATTATTCCCTACTCCTTAGTATTAAGTGAATACATTGGTATCTTGTAATTGTGGGCCAATTTGTGGAGTGTTAATGCACTTTAGTTGCATGAGGTACAATTGAATTAGCTCCCTGGGGTGCTGTTGCAGTAAAATATGGCTTTGGATAGCTGATTGGCAATTCTCTGCCCCTTGATTAACCTTCACTTAAAACCCCAACTCCTGGATTTAGTGTCTTCTTGACATCTAAATGTGTATCAACTTATTTTAAGGTAAAGTGTATTTTCAAAGTTCTTTTTTAAAAAACTGGAACTAATTCTGAGATTCTGTAGCTATAAGAAATCTAGACTGTCCTGTAGGTTGGTCAGATTGTAGGCAAGAACATACTCTGTCCCTCAACTTTCAGGAAATTTCTATTTCTGATATTAATGATTTCTATTTTCAAGGCTTAGATTCTTCTTAACATGTTTTTAGGAAAGGGAGAATCTGTCATGCTACTGTGGTCTATAATACTATGAAGTTAACAATAAAGATAGTTACATCTAATAGTATGATGAACATACATACAAATCACAGTGGGCCTTCTTTTTAAGTACGAATGTCTTCTTGCCACCATCTGGTGAGGTGGATGTTAAAATCATGTTTTTCTTTGTTTGGCTGTTTAATGTGACAGCACAAGGAAATAGCTATTCTGGTCTCTTCCTAATAAGAAAGAAAAATGCATTCTAATGAGGAAGGGGAAATTGTTGATTTTATGTTTGTGTGTTCCTGAATTACCTGTTCCTTCATGCATTGGTTGTGCAGCTTATGGATATGAAGTGCTGTTGATGTTGTAATTACCATTTCAAAAGCCTGGCTCTAATAAGGCCAGACACAGTGTCTGCATCCTAGCAGGCTCTCTGCGGTGCTAACATTTTGGAGGATGTGAAATTTGATGAATGTTTACAACTAAAGGTCACCTTTCCTCACACCCACATCAGTCAGACCGTCATCCCAGCTTAGTTCTCTGTGCTCTACCATTGAGTTAATTAGGACTCAAGGACCCAGGAGCCGCTATAATGGAAAAAGCCTGGACTTTAAGGAGAATAAGCAGAAACATTTCAGATAAACCTGAGGCTGTTTTATGTATGTAGCGTCTATAGAACAGGGAGAAACTAAATGTCAAAGACTTTTAAATATATATAGAGAGAGCTATAGAAAGAAATTGAGTAACTGTATTTTTTTATCCTTTAGTTGAGACAGTCCTTTAGGTCAAAGGTTAGGATATCTATTATCATTGCCATCTGAGATAAGCCAGTAATATTCTAGGTGCTTTTTATTGGTGTTCCCTGTTACTCAGGGCAACAAATAGTATGGCAATTTCAGGGGCTCCTTACTCCATGAGGACAGGCTTCCTGTTTGGGAGCCTCTTCAACATAAAAATCCTCCCTTCTTGTAGCTACCTGTTTCCATCATAAGTCACACCCCACAGGGCATGCTCATGCAATTTCTTGCTTTCCTGGTAGCAGCAGGACAGCATGTATCAAAAGCTTTAACAATGGATAGGCCCCAAGAAATTCTATTTCTATGAATTTATTTTAAGGACAATAAAAATCTTGTGAAACTATCATCAAGATTAAAGATTAATTTCAAAAACATATTAAAGATAATGCAGAAATATCTTTTAAAATATAAATACCCTAGGGGCTGGGACTGCAGCTCAGTGGCAGAGCGCTTGCCTTGCACATGTGAGGGACTGGGCTCAATTCTCAGCACCACATATAAATAAGTTAAAAAAAAAAAAGATTCATTGACAACTACAAAAATATTAAATAAAAAAATATAAATACCCTAAATGAGGATTTGTGTTATGGTTTATTAATATAATACAATGTTGTATAGTCATGAATAACTTTATTGTAGAATCCTATGATCTAAAATTGGCACACTTACAAATAACTAAAACAGTAAATTTTGTTATATATCTCTTACCACAATTTTTTAAGTGTCCATAAGTATTTTTTAAAATTTTTTTTAGTTGTAAATGGATACAATATCTTTATTTATTTTAATGTGGTACTCAATTCTGAACCCAGTGCCTCAGGCATACAAGGCAAGTGAGCTACCACTGAGCTACAACCCCAGTCCAGAAAGTGTCCATAAATATTTTAAGTGTAAAAATTAGTTACAAGACAGAATGTAGTAGTTTCTCACAGTTTATATTTTTGTGCAGAAATGCATTCTAAAATGGTAATAGCTATATTCTTTGCTTATATGTTCAAATTATAAGTCTTTTTTCCTTCTTTTCTAGTTTTTCTAATTTTTCCTCTAAATGTTTATTACATGAAAACTATGGGGCAAAATGAATAGTTATCTAAATGACTAGAAAGAAAAAACTTTCCTTCTCTAATTATTTATATAGCTTTTCAGTTGAGCTTCATTACTCATGCTTATGAAGTGGAAAAATAACCCATACAGAAGGAAATATTAGAAAATTTATTTAAAAATGGCTCACAATTCTAGCAATATGAATGTTTAATCAGATTAGATTTTTGAGATATTAAACAATTAGACAATAGAAACATTTCTGTATTGTTTAGGCACTTGATATTTTTTCTTATGAGATTTTTCAGACTATTAGCAAAAGTGAGGAGAAGGGTAGAACTGCTCTGGAAGTGGTATTCTAATACTAAAAAAACAGAAAAGAAACTATAGTAAAAGTCATGGATGGTACTGTTACCGCTGTTGACCAGTGACAAGAGTCCTTGCTTCCCCAATGTTGAAGTATAACACCAGAGAAGCACGCTGAGGCAAGTTTAGAGTGGAAAATAGAAGTTTATTAAAGGACAGCAGAAAAGACTTTCCAGGTGGAAGAAGGGGACCCAAAAGATGGAATCCTGGAAGTGCGGTTGTTTCCCCTTTTTATAGTTTTCGGTGATGGAATGTAGGTGGGAAGGCCCAAGGGGTGGGACACAGGTGGGCCAAAGAAGTAATCTGGGCAGGAAGGACTCCTGAGGCAGCATCTTCAAGTTTGCTGCTCATTAACATTTCTTTGGGATGGGCTATCTTCAAATCTGCTGGGGCTGTTCATTAACATTTCTTTGGGATGGGCTATCTTCAAATCTGTTGGGGGCTGTTTCCTGGACTTCATTAACATTTCAAGAGTTGCTCAACTTTTCCGGGAATTCATTCTCATGGCCTCCATTTTAGATTTCACTCGATATTAGACCCGATTTACCTAACTACATTGACTACCTAACTTTAAATCTGGCTTCAATACCTCTATTTGAATAAAAAGTGTTTCCATCTCCTCTTTATCACCAGATTCCTTGACAGTGGTCTACTTATTCTGGCACTTTATTCCACAGTATTCATAGAAAGTGGTTATTAAGACATTCAAATATACCATCATTTATCTGGTCAGTTTAGCAGAGATTTAGCTGAGCTCCAACTATGTTCAAATCCTAGGCTACACGTACAAAAGATGAAAAAGCAGGGATTGTTTCTTCAAAATGCATATCATGTTCACTTGCTTTAACAGTAAACTTTCCAAAATCTATCATGGAGCAAAATGATAAAGGATTTATGTGACCAAAAAAGGTTTCCTTGGACAGCTCTTCCCCTTACCAGATACCCTCAGAATTCAGCAGACAGGGGTGGTACATTCTTTCACAAAGAAAATACCTAAGTATGTGCTGCTTGGAAGAAGTTTCTCTTTCTCCTAAAGTCATATCTTGGCATATCTTATAGAATCAAGGACCTACCAAGTGTAGAAAGTGACTCAAGGTGTAGAAAGTGACTACCTGTGGGTATGCTGGGGTATGTACATATATCTACTCATAATTGATATCTATTTGAAATGCTTTAAAAGATGATATTATTTAACAAAAATGAAAAGAATTTACCAAATGGTATGCTCTAACATGCTGTGGTTCAGTATATTTAATGTCTGAGTGTGTAGTCTAGGAACGAGACTGCCTTGATCTAGTTCCTAGTCCCATTGCCCTTCATGCTTTTTATTTAAATTCCTTTGTCTCCTTCCAACCACTTCTGCAAGGCAGGTGATATGATAATACTCTCTCTCACACACATTCACACATTCACACACACACACACACACACACACACACACCCCTCCCCTGGAAACATAAGTCTAAAGGAAAATATTTCTCCAGAATATGAAGAGTTCAAGGTAGATAAAATGGATGCTTTATTTACCAATGAGCTATATCCCCAGCCCTTTTTGCAAAGAGTATCCCCAGTTGCAAAGAGTAAATGAGATCAGGAAGTTCTCAATAGATGTGAGCTCAATAATGAGAGTTATGCTGATTTGGGCAACAAAATAAAACTTTATACATGAGAAGTCTAACTCCTTTTAATTTAAAAATTTAACAGCCGTGAGACACACAAAATTGCAGTGTTTTACATTGCCGAAGGTCAAGAAGACAAGTGTTCAATCCTCTCCAATGAAAGAGGAAGCCAAGCATATGAAGATTTTGTGGCTGGTCTTGGATGGGAGGTAATTACTTTCATTCAATAGGTATTTATTGACTAACTATATTTACGAATGTATATAAGCTAGATATTAATTACATATGGTTTTGCATGTGTTTTTATAGTCAAATATAGCCTAACTATACTGACTACCTAACTTTAAATCTGGCTTCAGTACCTCTATTTGAATAAAAAGTGTTCTCTAGTTCAGGAACTAGAGAACATTGAATTTGACATCTTCTATTAGTTGCTGTATACGTGAACTTTTAGTACTTTATACATGAACTTTTGTTTCCCCTTAACTTTCCACTTTGTATTTTTTCATTTGCTTTGTATCAAAACAGAATAGTCAGAGGGACTCACCGAGTCATAGGTGGTTTATAGTAAGAGAAAACAAATATGGGCAAGGAAACAATGGTTTGGGCCATGAAATGGAGCTTTTAGAGAACAAATCAATAACTTGGCAAATAAAAAGATGAAGGAAGAGTTGGATGAAGTCAAAAGTTGAAATGAAAATAAAATATAATAGCTATGGTGGCTTACCCATCAACTTTTTTCCCTAACATAGTTCCCCAGGATGATTGATAACTGAAAATTTTGTAGGTTTTTTTATTTTTCTTCTTAAAAAATTGGGGGGTGGGCGCCACTGGGGATTGAACGCAGGGATGCTTTATTTACCAGTGAACTATATCCCCAGCCCTTTTTAATTTTTTAATTTTGAGACAGAGTCTCGCTAAGTTGCTTAGAGCTTCACTAAGTTGCTGCTGCTTTTCTCAAACTTGTGATCCTCCTGCATCAGGGATTACAGGCATGCACTACAGCAGCCAGCTAAAAAATATATTCTCTCTCTCTCTCTCTCTCTCTCTCATACACACACACACACACACACACACACACACACATATCTCTCTCCCCTAGAAACATAAGTCTAAAGGAAAATATTTCCCCAGAATATGAAGAGTTCAAGGTTGATAAAATGGAAATCAAAATATCTAAAATAATTTTCTTCCTTTTGTTTTGGTTTCCTAGTTATCTGTGGTAAGGAGAAACTCTGGGTACATAAGCACAGCTTATCTCTGAGAGTTCAGTGTTAGCAAGGGGACTCCTATAGAACTAGGGTCAGGGCAAGAGCACACCAAGGTTAGGATCATACGCTTTCTGAAGAGCCAAGTAGGTTTTAGTCTAAGAGCTATTGCACTTCCAATAAATCTTTGTTGTTCTTGCTGATAAGGTTACTTCTTATTTGTCATAGAATATATTTGTTGTTTAATTAATATAGTTTTTAAATCATACATTCTCAACTAAGAAAACAAAACATTAATCCAGAATGTATGTAGATTGTTATTTGGCACAGAAGAGACTTCTCTACTTCTTTCTTGTGTGTGAGTTTAGAAAAAATACTGAAAGAATGATAAAGAAGAATGATAAAGAAAGAATCATTGGTGACCCTGAGTCCCGGGAGCCCACCACACAGGGGAAACGGCTGTGTGTTGAAAGAAAAATGGGACAAGATAAAAGATGGTGTGTTGTAAAACCACACACAAGACTATACCTCCTAGCTAAAAAAACCATATCTTTCCCCCAGAGGTTTCCTCTTCCCCCAACAAATTAAAAAATTAGATTTAGGTACAAAGTGAGCATTCACACCATAACTTAAAATGAATTATGACTCATAAACTTTTGGCAATGGTATAAATTGTGATAACCCTTTGGAGAAACAGTTTAGTGATAGCTACTAAATTGTGTAATATCTGTACCCCTTGATACAACATCTTAGAAAAACACTCCTTTGAGTGTTCCGTCTGGTTTGAAAAAACAAAAAGCCCCACAAATCCATCAGTGGAGAAACTGTGTGTGTTTGTGTGTATATGTATTGGCCCCAGAGTGCAAGGTTCTTGGTGCTGGCATTCTGATATCCCATAGAGAAGCCATAAAATGCTTCTTTAAGTGAAAAGGTGAAGGTGTAATAAGATATTTTGAAAAAGAGAAAGAGACACCAAAATCACATACCTTTAGTTATAATATGTTGCTATGATTATTCTGGTCTATTAGTTATTGTTAATCTCTACTGTGCCTAATTTACAAATGAAACTTTATCAAAGGTATATAGGGGAAAATACTAGTGTATTGTAGGGTTTGGTACTGTTTGTACTTTTAGGTATCCACTGGGGGTCTTGGGACATAGCTCCCAAAGGTAAGTGGGGACTCCTGTGTATATTTGTATGCCTATATGGAAAAATTTAGAGAAATATATACCAAAAATAGGTACCAGAAAGTTAGAGAAATATATACCAGAACTTTGATAGTAGTTTTCTTTAGATATTCCATATTTAGGAATATGGAGCAATTTTAATTTTAATGTTCTTTGTTTCTTTAATATTTTAGCATTGGCTAATTTTGTTTTATATTGTAAGTTTGTATTCAAAAAGATATGAAGTGAAAATCATTTTTTTTTTTTAAATTCACATTCACAACTCAATTTTGACCCTCAGTCTTTTCTTTCTATGTGATCTTTATTAGGTGGATCTCTCCACCCACTGTGGGTTCATGGGTGGCCTTCAGCGCAATGGCAGCACTGGTCAGACAGCCCCTTATTATGCTACCTCTACTGTGGAAGTGATTTTCCATGTTTCCACTCGGATGCCATCAGACTCAGATGATTCACTTACCAAAAAGGTAAGGGCCCTCATTGGGGACCATCCTTAGCTCCTCTGGTATATAGGGGAGGCCCTCTTAGGACGGGACTAAGACCAGGTCCTGAAGCTCTGAGACTGCTTTCCTTGGGACTCAACTTCAGTGTTGCTCTTCCCCAGGCTACACTTGTGGTGAATCTAAAATCCAACTTGGCACAAACTTAAGACCCAATATTAAGGATTAGGAAGAGGAAGGGTCTAAAATATTGCTATTTTGGGATCTTCTCTCATATTCATATCACCTGACAGAAAATAATATAGTTTACCTCATAAGCTGTTAAAGATTGCAATGTGTAATGGCCTTTGTGACAAAAGTATTAATGGTGCTCTGGGAAAGAAGCCCGCCACCACCACAGGCTTGCTAGGAGTGAGTTGGTAGCATCTGCCAAAATGAGGAATACAGATGAGCTGCTGCCTAGCCATCCATTTTTGCTGTTGGGTACCTTTCATTCTCCTTGAGCTTTGGCCCTATGGTCAGTTTTCCCTGTAATTCAAAGGAAACCTGGTGCCCCAAGTGAACTCACCCAGGGAAACATGGTCCTTTACCTTCCAACCACCAGGCTGTTCACCTCAGGTGACCCTGTGTTAGGAGTGAAGAGCACCTTAATAGAAAAAATACTTTAGTCTGATAAGGAAGCCACTCCTGTAAGTTTCCAGATGAGAGAAACATCCCAGAACAGCTGTGATTTGTGCTCATCTGTTCTCATGCAAGGAACTGAGTATAGCACCTTAGGTGCTAAGACCAACAAATGGGGAGTCTAAGGATGGGGTTAGAGCCAGACTCTGCAGACAGGTGGACCTGAGCTCAAGTATGTGTTGAGTTATTTTATCCACCTGTGCCTGTTTTTCATCTATTAAATAAGATTAAAAGCAGAGCCTATGTCCCAGGGTAGTTGAGCAAAGTGAATGAGAGGATGCTCTGTAAAATTCAGCATGGTACGTGGTAAGATCTCTATGACCATCAGCCCTTGGCTTTGCCCATTGGTTTAACTGATTGTTTTCCCCTCCCCCATTAGTCAGATGAGCAATAGCTGATAGGTCCTACTGTACCTTTTATATTTTATTTCTCTGTGGTTTTGTTTTTTCACCATTGCAGCAACAGACATCTGGACTATGTACCTGGTATACATGAAGCAGTGCATGTGGGGTATCAAAACTCAAGTCATGGCTCAATCACAGAAAACTTTCATAGTGATCAAGTATCTCAGATGTGTGTAAAGCCTGATTTGCATTGAGAAACTTATCAGGCTTTCATCCCTCAGTCCCACATGGTTTAGTGTCTTTCAGAAAATGAGAGCCCCACAACAAAAGGTGTGGACCACATGCTGTTTCCCACAGGCATTGGAGGAACTACCTCCAAGTCTTAGGTTCTGATGGCTTCCCCTAGTGGAAGGGACTTCATCCCCTGGGACCTCTCTGGTATCTCAAAGTCTAGTGCAGCTTACTGAGCCCTGAAGGCATGATCATGTTTGTTTGTTTTTAAGTTGAGGTACCTTGTAAATTTATGCTACTCTGCAAATGTGTCACCATATTCTATTAATTTTCTTATGGTAGAAAGCTATTTTGTTAAAAGATAACAAACTATTTTGAAGGTATTTCTTTAAGTAAAGAGGCATGGTTTTGTTTTGTTTTTATGAGAAAAGACATACTGTTTTCTTGACCAAAATGTCATGCTATAAATAATGTTCCAAGTCTTGGCCTGGTTGAAAGATTCCCTACTATAATAATCAAAATTCAGCTGATACCTTTTGCAGCTCTAAGGTTTAGCATCATTAGCAATAAACTCTCTACAACAGGATGTCTCACAGCTAGACTAAAAATCATAGTAACAAAGGCTCACAGTTCCTTGTCTTATTCTAACTAAATTGTTCCTAACAGCTTAAAAATGAGCTGCAAAATTCTAAAGTGATTCATGCTCTCTTCTGCCCCTGTCATGGGGGGACTTTTTCAATTCTGCAATCCGGTTGCAACCCCATACTGAACTCTTGATCCTTCACTGCAGATATTTGTTAGCTCTAGCTAGATTAGATTTTTCACAGCTAATCTAACTGCTGTAGGGGTTTGCAGAGTGGGGACAGAGCTGTGCTATTGGATTTGTCCAATTCATTTGACTCCAGGACTATAATTGCACTTATGTCTTACAAGGCTTTTATAGCCTCAGGCTGGCCAGCCGCATAAAAAACAAATTGGCAGTGATACAGTACGAGTGAAAAGGGATGAAAGGCCCACATTATCAGTCTCCAGGCAGTGCTGTTCTGGCAGGAAGTTTCTTGGTTAATTTACAAATAAAACTTAGATTTTAGGATGGGCACACTGTCAGCTGAACAATGGGGATGTCAGGCTTGACTGTTACTTAGTAAAAGTAGCAGCCGGGCCCACTGAGGAGCAGGAATTCTTCAATCAAACAGACGACTCCTTCTGGAGCCAGCTGGCGATGTAATGCAATTAGTAGGGAAAGGAGGTCAGCCTATTAGGTGTGGACCATGACCAGTGTCACCAGTGGCGTGCAGCCTGGCAGCAGCAGGCACAATGGCTCGGGTGGAGGGACTTTAGAACTCTATCAAGACAAGAAGTGGCAGCACATGGGCTTGATTTCTTGAGACTGAAGAAGTGGGCATTTGTTGTAAGCCCAATGAACATTAGGGCTTTCTGCAGTCTGTTGTGCAGTGGAAGCAAGGACCAGTGTGAATGCCAGCTCCATGCCAGTAGGAGACTCATCAGTCTCCCCCTGAATCACACACACATCAGATCAACTTGACTTGTGTGCCCTGAGCCGAATGGCAGGTGGGTTTCTAATTGGAGGGCCCCTAATCAAAACTCTGCAAAACTCACAAAGTAACATACTAAAATCTCCTTTAAATAGAGTAAGACTTTAAGGTTTCTAGGGTTTTTGTTATGTTATAACATGGTGAACACTTTGTCCAGATCAATTTTATTTGTCTTACCTACTTGTGTTCTTGTCATAGGCAGAAGAGGGTGTAATTTTGCTTTATGCTCTAGATTTATCAGCCAATTGGTCCCATGGCCTTAGCTTTTAGTTTTGTGATTTAGTTAATTAAATTGTAATGCTTCCAGAAGTCTGAGGTGCATGACATTGAAAGCAGCACTGAAATGATGAGTACTGCATTATTATCGCACAAAAACAGCTCCTCCTAAATTATAGAATCACCACACTAGAAGGAAGGGTCTATTAGTGGGATACTAATCCCCTGTGTTGTGGCTCTAGAATACAGTTGCAAATAAAATTAGGAGAGGCTTACTTGGGTTATGTGATTGAGTAACCAGTTTATAAAGGAGAGAGTAACAGCGAAATTTCAGCAATCACTGTTATCACTTCAGTTACAGTGGATCAAAGAGCTACACAGGTATTAGATGCTGGCATCCAGAGTAACATCCCAAGTTTTTGGTAGGTGAGCTGTTCCCATTCAGATGTTTGTGCCATTGTTATACCAATGGGTCCCAATGTCACCATCTTTTCAGGATGAGGGCTGCAGTTCTGAGCTCCAGAACAACCCCATTTCTCAAGATTAACTTCTAATGCTCCAAATTCCTGTCAGAGTTTCAGTTAGATACTATGCGCATTTCTCTTAAAATGTGGAAACCTGCCTATCTTGCTTGTGTTGTTGACAGTGTTGGCTGCTGTGTTTTTACTCTAAAAAGAATTAGTTGTAGGAGTCTGTTGTAAGGTCCTCACATAGTTTATTAAGAAGGAGAAAGAAGGCGAAGGTATAGTATCTAAGATGGAAGTAGAGCTTGGGTGTAGCTCAGGGGAACAGCACTTGCCTAGCAAATGTGAGGCCCTGGGTTTGATCTCCATTCACTATAAAACAATGAAATGAAATAATGATGGGAATGAAGTGAGATGTCCAGGGTTACCAGGGCTATTATGAGAATTCAGTGTTGTCTTTTTTGTTTGTTTGTTTTTTGTTTTTAAACTATTTGTGTAATGGGCTGGATATGCCTTTTGCCTGCTCTTATTTTAGCTATAATATTTGTGAGGGGGCTGTGGGAGAGTGGGGAAAGAAGAAAAAGATGTACTGTAATTTTGAATTTAGAAAGTCATTATCTACATCAAGTGTTCAACTCCTGCAATTGCACTTGTCCTAGAGCCCATCCTCAGACACAATAGAATCATGCACCCTCAGTGTAGGTATGAAGGGACAGATGCAGATATTTTTTAAGTAATGACTTGTACAGTCATTCCCAGAAGTATGAGAGAGTGAAGAATAAGCAGACATCACAGCAAACAACTTCCCTTTGTAACCTTATAAATAGAAGAGAGGCCACATTAGAGTCACCTTGGATTTTCCCTTTGTGGCCAAATAGTCTGTAAAGAAAATAGTATTTATTCTAACATGTTTTAAATACAGAGTATTCCAGAGTATCTTTTTTTTTTTTTTGGTCTGAGACAAGACTGAAACACAATATCTCTATTTGGTCACTTTTGATGTTCCACTATTAGATAAGAAAACAAACAAACAAAAAAATGCTTGTTTGTGTTGATAGGTAATGTCCTGCTGCTGCTGCAAGTCAGAAACAGAAACTTCACCGGTCACAGTGGGTGTCAAAAGGACTTTCACCAGTCAGCCTTCAGTTTTAGAATTCAGTTTGGTCCAACATTTTTATCTTTATAACCTAGTTTTTTTTTTTTTTTTTTTTTTTAGTCATGCTTTCAGGCTTCTCAACTGATGTCATATGCAGTGTTCTCCAGCTTGGTAGAGTGTGATTATCACTCAGGAGATTTACCAAGAGTATTCTTGGCTTTAACAAGAGTTGGACCCTGGAAAAACTCTCAGAGGGTCCTTTCCTGGACCTATCTGCTAAGGCCTCTTCAAAATGACTAGAAGTCTGTGATTTGTTTGGGGACTTTATAGACCCTTTATGTATGAGATGATAAAACAAGTGGGCAAAACTGCTTGAGTGATGGCAACAAAGCAGCTTTTGGTGTAGACTTAGATATCCAGGGAACAGAACAAATACTCTGAACCAGAAGCTCCAGCCAACGTTCCCAGGCCCACTCCACATGTATTGTTCACGCAACCTTGAATAGGCACAACCTTTGACTTCTTGAGCACATGGTTCCTCCTGGTAAGAGGAGATAAAGATGGTGTAGTATACCTGAGAGAGTTAGTGGGAAGATTAAACACACTGTCTGTATGATAAGGAGCTTTGTCAATGCTAGGTTCTAGTGTTCCTATGAAATTTAATTAACATTTATTAGTTTCCTAAATAAAGATAATTTTATATGTTCTTTTTCTTAAAGATTTGTCACAAGACTAGTTTCTTTTATGTTTTTTAACAATTGTGTTATAATGCCTTATATTCTCTTATGTTTATATTCTTATTTTGTTAATAACCATTAAGAGGCTAATGTAATATGGATTAAAAAACTCGTATCATTAATTGTTTTTGAAACATACTCAGCCATATAAAGCATATGGCTTCAATGCAGAGGTACAATTCCATTTAAAAAATCCTTGAAAAGGTCTTGGGCCCATCCAGCCCACAACACATCCTCAGTGCTTGGATATGATTCTTAGTACCATATGTATTTCATAGAAGGTAAGTGGTATTTTCACAGAATTGTGCTTTTTAAAATCCTCGTAGAAGACTTCAGTGTTGTAGCCTTTTAGGTAGTAAAAGTTTTTTCCTCTGTGTTTTATAATTCAATTTGTAAACCATGACCCCTCATAAACTACTGTTATCACCTTGATTAATAAAGAGCCAATTTGCTGTTGCAGCTCCGTCACTTGGGGAATGACGAGGTCCACATTGTCTGGTCTGAACACTCCAGGGACTACCGCAGGGGTATTATCCCAACCGCCTTTGGAGATGTTTCAATCATTATTTACCCAATGAAGAATCACATGTTCTTTATAGCCATAACGAAGAAACCTGAGGTATGTTTTCTCCACGTTGTTGCCCAGACCATTTATCATATAATTCACTGTCTCAAAACATATGATAATGTTAAAGGGGACTTTTTTCCCAACTGCTAGATTTTTTACATATCTCCAAATTATATGTGCCATATAAGAATTTAATATGAATTGGGATTTGCAAAGTATCTTTCATTATAAGCACAAAATTCCATATTGTATTACCAGGCCTATGAAAATCAAAGAAATTTATGATTTTTAAAAAAATATCTTGTTTTGAAAATTTTGTAATTTAAAAGATTATAATTTTAAATTTTGGACACATTGATTAATAATAACAGTTGAAGAAAGCCCATTTTCACAACTAGCATTTTAGGGATAAATGTGGATATAGAATCCAACTTTGTCTGACGAACCTGGACTGTGCTAAGAGAGGTCAGTCCTGAAGGATAGCAGCCATGTCTGCAAAGAGACTTAGCCTCTACAGCAGAGCCCATGTGATGGGTATTAACAATCGAAGCACCTTATCACAGAATCAATTCAGCCATGTCTGTTGGTATTGATCACCAGAATGGCTGGAACAATCCAATGGTCTGGATCCCATGTACTAAATTGGCTGCAGTTTTCATCCTTATCATGCCTTTAGTGGTATTTTAACAGTGCTTTATACAGTGATTTATTTTGGTTTTGTAATTATTAAGATGTTTTTAAAAATTTTTAAATTAAACATTTAGCATATTAAACCCACTCCTTAAGAAAAATGACCTCTATTTTTCAGTTTGATATTAAATATAATTTTTATTTTCATTCTAAATTATTCTCCTGAAGGAGATCAAACTTACCATTCTAAAAGCTGTCTATTTTTAATATTCAAAATAATAAATCACTGAAATTTATTGTTCAAATTGATTTCAAATCTAAATTGTTACATTTGTAAGGGTTAAATAAGCTAATAAGGAAAAAGTGCTTCAAACTGTACCTGGTCCAGAGAAAAAGCTACTTTGTTAGCTGTTGTTGTAATTGTTATATCATTATCATTTCTATTGGTATTTTTTGTTACTCTCACAGGAATAAAATCAATAATGAATTCCAAGTTTAACACGTAGATTAATTCTCAAACTAGGTAAATGTGGGTCAGTTCCCACCAGGAAAGTCCCACTGTGGCTGATTCACAGCCTAATATAAGGAGAACTCTTTTTTATTCATGGAATAAAGATGCCAAAATTTTACATTGAATATTTGTATTATCTTTACTTGAGAGATATGAAGTTTGTGTATGTTTTCAGTCATACTATAAGGAAATGGCATGGTACTCACATTTTTATTTGTTCACAAAAAGCACTACTTTAATTTTAAGAATTAAAGTGAAAATTTTAATATTACAGAACCAATAAATTTAGTATTTTGTAGCTTTCCAAACTAGAAAATATGTTTCTTTAATATTTAATTTGGATTAACTGGCTTTATTAATTCATTTTTCAATATGCCCTCTAGAAATGTCATTTAATGTCCTTAAAATGTTGTCTTTATTTTTGAAATAAATAACACAAAAGGCATTTCAATTTTCTTAATAGTGTCAAGGTGATTTTTTAAAAAGTAGTATAAAATGCATAAAAGCAATCTTTAACATACCTTTTAAAATTTCTTACAAAATGTGTGTAAATTTTATAAATTTGGTCATAAATTCTGACAAGGATGAATTGAGCAAATTGCTTTCTTAGTATTTTAATTCAAAAAGCCTAAAGGGAAGAAGAGAATAATGGGCAACTGGAAATTTAGTGTTATCCCTACATTTAAAGTACAAACCATTACAATGTAATAAAATTAATCCAGACATTTCCAGGGCAAGTGTGGCTGACCTTTTGTTCACCAACCACTGACCCCAGGGTGAATGCAAGAGGCTTTCGGAGGGAAAGTCTGTTTGTTTGGCTTCAGTCCCTGGTATTTAAATTGCATTCCCTAATCAAATGAAAAGGCTGTCCTCTCTATCAGGTTACAGAATCCATGGCAACATTTGGCCTTTTATATCCATAATGTTAGCCTTTTTGTTTGCATCTAAGTAGAGACACCTGGAGCAATGTTAACATTAACCGATTTAGCATTAATAGCTTCATTATATAAGAATTTCTGATCAGATAGCTGTTACTTTTGTTATATTGCTTCAGCTTGTATTGTTGTCATTTTTTATCTCCCTGCTTGGCAACCAGGCAATGATTTGCAAATTTTTTTTGTCTTGATTAATTAAGCAATATAATTATCAGTAACCGTGATGCAGTCTTTGCTCAACAAAGCTTCTAAGAGAAAACAATGGTAAGTCTGTTAGTATGAATGCATTCCACGCGTCCCAGATGCATGAGGATATTATGGACAATGAGGGGAAAGGCCGCCTGTGAGCTAGGACAAAGGGTGCCACGCAGACTCTACACACTGCACATACCGCCAGGGACATGCTGCGGGCTCCCTGGGACACAGCCGCCTCGTTAGATTACAGCTAGTCAGCAGAGATTAATTCTCAGCCATTTGGTGCAATAATTTACCCATTCCCCAGTCTTTTAACTAGTGCTCTGTACTATAGAAGTGAAGGCTTTGTACTCAAAAGGTTTATTTAACCTCGCCTACTTTTACATGTCTCCACCAAAATCATTATTTTTGTCTAGAGATTGTAATGATGCAGCTGGTTGAAGTTGAGGAATATTCCTTTTAGGAAGACAGCCTATATGTAAGTTTCAGAAATAGTAGGCGGAGTCAAAGGCTTTCTCATAGCACCTGTGTATTTCATCTGAAGACAGTATGATCTGGTGGTCTAAATATATTTATTTTACTGATCTCTGGTCAACCATACTTCTCTCAGAATGATTTTAATCCTTTTTTAGGAGAGGGGGGAACCTCATCAGTAAACAAAAGTCCTGCTTATTGGATAGAGTCATGCATATTCAAATTGTACTTTCATTCACTCAGTCTCATTAATAGCGTATATAATAATGTAGGGCTATTTGTAATACAAGCTCACAGGCAGCATTGCTTCCAAGTCCTTTGAAATTCAACATATTTTGCTTTTTTCATTCCATACACCTCCCTTAAATATACAAATTATGTGCCTGGCAGAATTGGCCTCTTAATAATATACAGCATTTGTGAAATGTTATGTTGAATTGTGAGTGTGCTTGTGGGAGTACATAAACCCCTCACGGCTGAAGGGGCCTGCTTACTTTTTGAGCATTGTATTGAACTCCTTTTTTAAAATTTTTTTTAAAGCAGCATGCTTTGAAGCATCATTTAATTGTTAAATCACTTTCAAAGTAAATCTGTTTCTATAAATATTGACACAGTTGTCCTTTGGTCAAAATGCATTATTGTCAGACTTAGGGGGTTTTTTTCCTACTTGTGTTACCAAGTCAGCTATCCAGGGAAGGCTGGCATGTGTGGCAGAAAGTAAGTGACTTTAAGGGGTTTGTGAAAATGTCCCATTCATTTTTTAGGAAAATAATTCACAAAGCCCCCTCACTACAGTAAGTACCCATATTGCTTTCCCTATCTTTCAATGTCTAGAAGGCGATATCGGTGTTTATATAGTGTTTGCCTTTATGAATTTGTGAGAGTTGTGGTATTTGGGGTCATATTTATCTCTGCCCTCATTAGTGACTGACTGGTAACCATCTGACCAAAGGAAAGATATTCTCAAGTAGCCTTGGCTAGGAATAAGACAAAAGGAAATTTTGGTAAAGAGTCCCTCCTCATCACCTCAACCAGAGTGTCACTTTTATAAATGAAAAATGAATTGATGTCCTCCACACTCTACTTACTCACCTTGGTAGATGTGGCATGGGAGAAAAAAATAATGATGATTCAATCATTTCTGAGAATATAAGAAGGAAAGGATAATAGAAGATGAGACCTCAACAATCCAATTCCAAGGCGGCCGCTAGGGGGTGGGTGTCTTGGGCAGGTCTCTGAATTTCTCTGGACCTTTGTTTTATCAACTGTAAAATTCAGGATAGGGATTAAGGCCTCTCTACAGTCCCTTCAGGGATTAAAAAGCTGATTGGGTTCTCTTGTCCTAGATGCCCAGAACTTTTCTTAACAGGGTTCTATCCAAATGATATCTGACCCTCTTGCAGCTTTGGCAATATTTGTATGTGTACGCACATGTACAGATACATAGTGGCCCTGGACATGTATCCCTCTTTAGGATGACACAGTCCAGGACCTTTTTCTGGAGCACACACCCAGAGATGCTGGCAGAAGGCTAATGTGCCAGAAGTCTCAAGACTACTTGCATGTATGAGGTCAAGAGGAGCCTAGTGTTGGTATTTGTGTTTGAAAGGAACTATTTTTAGGTTACTCATGTGGCCTCATTATATAAGGAGAGTATGTGACTTTGCAACACACTTATGTAAGTTTCTTTTTTTTTTATTTCAAATGTGTCGTTTTCTTAAATATCTATCCCAATCCCAACCAAATAACTTTTTTGAATTAAAAAATGAACTTTAAAATACTCTGGGGAATTCTAAGGGAAGTCAGTTAGCTTTTGAGTATACAAAGAAACATGTATTTGGAAAAGATAATTGAAAATTAGAATTTACTGAACAACTAAAATGAATTTTTGTGGTATGTTCTATTTTCATAATTTATTATTATTGTTATTAGCATTATTTTTAGTAAAGGAATGGCACTGGAAACTATATGAAAATGCATCTGTCATTTGCAGATGTTATATTAAAATCAAATATCTCTATAATTTATCACCACTTCTAGTTAGAGGAATTCTCTGGTTGCCAGGGATTTTTGTAATCCCTTTTGTCGAGTTTTTAAATGACTGAATCACCCATAAGCAGTTGCCAAAGAGTAATAAGGAACACTTATTTATATGATAAGCCTCAATATAGATGGAAGAAAATCTATTGCTTGTTAGTAATTACCTCCTAGCTCCTGTTTTATCTTTCACAATAATTCAGCTTTTGAGAATTCCTTCTCAATTGGTTTTCCTCAAAAGTTGGGTATCATTCTCCTGTTTCTTACGT